TTAAAAGTAATAACCAATATAATAGATCATAGTATCACAACTCAATAAGAATGATGTTTAACTTATACGATTTGCACACATATCCAGCGTATTTTCTAGATGTAGTCTTCAGCGACCGCTACCAGTTAGAAAATCTTAAAAATATACTTACTGCAAGGAAAGAGACTTGGCTTGAATGAATAAATGATCGACGAAACGAAGCTCTATTTTAAGCTCTTGTCATATCGTACTATAAAAAAGATATGAAGTTAGACTGATATATAAATCCGAATCTAAACAAAATTGACTTCTCATAAATCCATATATTTCTTTTCTGTGAAACCTACGTTAAGTTTATTTAAAATTTGGGGATCGATTAAGACGGCTGTAGTGAGCATAGTAGACCACTACTAGTAGACCACTACTAATATCAGAAGGGACAATAATTCATCACATTCTCTGAGATCTATAAGTATTCTGCTACTCTACTTATACCTATATTAAGTACTAAGAAGTTTGAAAATTAGTTAAGTAATTTAAATTATTCAATAATATTTGAATTATTTATTTGAATAATAACAATTATTTACATAAACTTAGAAGACTCATTAATTGGATATTACATTACACAATTTCTGGCCCCATAATTAATATTAACTTTGCACACGTGTTCTCTCTCAATTTAGTCTAAGACTAATATAACTTACATTTGTAAGTCATTTAAAAAACTATTCAATATCATTTAAATTAAATAAATAAAATATTTTAGTAATTGAATAATAAATATACTTAAATATTTTTATAATTGATTTATGTCATTAATGACAGTAGGGAATTCAATGTGGCACTACTTAGAAGGCGTCTATTTCTTTACCGTGACAAATTCTACTTGTTGTTGGGTTTTTTTTTTTGTCACGCCAATATATTAAACACACAAATAACAATCATAAAATAAACCTCACGTAATACTAGAAGCTATTGGGCCATAGACACAAATTGTCAAGACATAAATACTGTTTACTCGTAAGTATATTTTAACCACCCGCAATAAAAGTATTTACGAGCATTCAATTTGATACGAGTAATTTTATCGATGATCATAAAATTGAGTGAAGATATTGCCCTGCTACCGTAATTAATGCTATTGATTTTTTTTATATTATATTTATAAATATTTTTTAATTTTTGTTGATATATTGAACACCTCAAAACTAATCCCTGCAGTGGTAATTGAAGCCTTATAAATATACACATTATATTAGAACTTTATCAATTTACAACATCATGAACACTTTCAGTTTATTGTATATGTGTTTAATGTGAGTGATTAATTTATTGACCCAAGAATAGGCCTCAGTTATTTCAAATTAATCAAATGGTTTCAAATTTGATGCATTCAGCAAGGAAACATATTAACAACTATAAAGATATTTGTAGCTCCAAGCTACCCCATTTTGAACGCAGCCAAAATTTCGAAATTTTTTTAGGTCTGTTCTTATTTCTAGGTCTATAAGTTATTGAGGCGGTACACCCGTTTTAAGAGAAGTACCATAGGTATACAAAACCTACCTTCAAATTTGGTTTAAAGATTGATTTATTCTAAATTTCCATTATTCTTAAATACGCAAGAAGAGTCATAAGTTATTTATTACAATAGACCATAGACTTATCTGAGTCCTTCTTAAGAAACCTAATGGAAATTCTTAAAGTATTATAGTAATCAGACGAAAAACAGAAGATGAACTATTGTTTGGAAGGTATCAGTATGAAAGTTATACATGAGTGATCAAGAATTTCTTCTAAAACAAATTGAGAAAAATATTAAAAAGGTAGTTAATACACACATCTATCCTTTGTTGACTTTTGACAAAAGTTTGATAGAATCGATTCTAATATTTATGACAGTGAAACCCCAGTAGATCTAGGTGTTAACAAAAATGGCACGTACTAACTAACGTATCAATTAACGCCAACTAAACTCATTCTTACCGAATTCAATGGTATCTAATTGCCTTCATGACAGATTTTCATGGACAATAACACTGCAGAAAGACATAAGGAAGTTCCAACAAAAACTTTTACCAAAACTATTGAACTCAAAAATGTAAGCCATTACTCGCAATATAACGACGAACTGTCAACTCACAAAGCAAAGTGACCACAACAAGCGATGTGTTCACATGAGAAAACATATGTACGAATACGCAAGACAAAATTTGGATGCAATGTACGTTTTGTAAATAAATTCAGTAAGGTGGCAACACTGATAGAAAATTGAATTGTAAACACATTAGCCAACACGTCAAAGTACTATAAAAGCGAACTTCCAGACAAACAACTTAGTTCAAAAGCACATAACGTAAACATCCGACTGATAAATGATCACAGTATATGAAGCTTTTAGTCAAGATACAGCGATCAAGAAATCTGGTAGCCAAACATGAAATATAACGACGAGTATATATGTCAACATGCTGATTGACTAAAGCCTAATAACATTGAATAAACTCAAAGAGATCCGCAATTTCAAAAACCTCTCAAAGATTTTAATAGCGGCAACTCCAATAAAAAAAATAACGACTTTAATGGCGGTTAAATTTCATTTGATTCGTCCATTCGTCCATCGTCTTACTCCATCCAAGCAAAATACAAGAAGGAACGCGTTGTGCTTCATTGAGAATTAAACGAAAACCTTTTGTTGCTTTTGTCGTCTTAATACATATCACCACTGGGTAGTTACATTTCATAAAAGGTACCGACTCTGAAGTGGTCACAGCAACGTTTCACTTATATTTACACACATGGCAAGTGCATATCCACTGATGCACTTTGCTCTATAGCTTAGCAATGAAGTGTCTGGCTTTGCCACTAGAGGAAGAGCACAGTAGAGTACAGTACAGCAGCTCTTCTCTGACTATCATTAGATGTGTAATGCAAATAAATAAATTAAGGGGTTTCCGAGTGTTTAGAGACTTAACATGCTATGGAACAGCTTCTGTGTTGCTGGTAGCCATTTGATCTTCAAGTGTTATTTGTTGGTAAAATGATAAAGTAAATATTTGTGTATGGATTATTAAGTGAGCATCAAAATGCAGCAAATATTGTCACCTTTAAGTGAAAATAATTAAATAATGAGATTAGTAGGTGGGAATCAAAATAATAAGAAGAGCTCTCTTCTAATCAGATTTCGAGAAAGTTAATGTATATATATATATATATATCAATATATATATATATATAGTGAACTATATATGGTATAGTACATAGGTATAGAAAATATAGTAGATATAATCCGTTGTGCTTACATCCTAGTATATATACAACGTAATATTATTATTTTGCATTGAATTCGTGCGAATTGTTGAATGTGAATCAAATGCATAGTGTTTACATTACATTTGAACACAATTATTCCATCGTAAAATGCAACCCCTCATTTTTATTCAGATAAAAAATAAACTTTATTCTCTTACTTAAAGTTAAGCAAAATATTTCCGATAAATAATAATTATAGTAAAAATAAACAAGTATCAAAAGATTCTACTTCAGCAGAGCATTAGGTTATGTTATCTTAGATTATACCCGATTAGGATATTTTAATAATCCTAAAATTATTTTTAAAGAGAAGGTATGGAGGTGGCCAAGATCGTTAAGAAACTAAAGTCCTAGCATGGTTAATCGGACACTTTCATTCTCATCTCCACAACAAGAGAAGTATTAATTTTTTATCACAGTTCTCTGAGCGACTGTGACCCTACCACAAGACTGATAGCTCAATGCGATTACTGTATTTTTTTTTAATATCAGATAACTATTACCTTAAGGATCTTCTGTACTGCAATTAAGTCTTAACGGAACAGAAAGCACAGTGCTTGTTCAATAAAACTATAATGTTTTTTGTTGAAAAATTTTTGTTTCCCGGCTGAATTCATTATTACTAGGTCAGTTTATGTTGAAAGTGTATATATTAATGGCACTATAACTATATACATAGCTATAATCCATCGTGATGTCTTCAAAGTTACTAGGAATAGGCAAACCACGCTCACCATTGTTTCCAATATAGCTCCTAGTCTTATCCTCTTATTGTTTTCCACATAAAGTGCAATAGTAAGTAAATGGTATCTTAGATATTGGAGCCGCTTTTTCTGTGGAGCCAGGCACAGACATTAATAGTGATTGATAGATTCCTTTTTCTTTTTATCATTAAAACTTCTGCTTAGTATATTTATCGAACTATAGGCTTGCTTAAACTCAAAAAACATTATTTTTCTCCTACCTAATCTTGGCCATATAGTCCAGCTATCTCACAATCTTGGAGATTATCAGTTGTTCCGCATTATTACTCTAAGAAATGTTATAGTTAATTGTAACCATCAAGTAAAGTTCCACAAGATTTATATTCAAAATTTTAACTTAACACTCTTGTAGAATATACTATACACTCCCTTTGAAGCATCTCTGTAATGGCACTGTACCTCGTTAGTGTTCCAATTAGTACCTGAACTGCCGGTTTGCTGTAGCCTAGAACACAGATCGTATTAATTCTTGTCTTACCTAGCCCATAAAATTCTTGCAAATTTGCACCCTTGTTTCCCTTCAATATTCCTCCTATTCCTTAAATAAACCATATTTCCAATTTATTTTATTATATAATGTCAATTTGAACGCACTATATATAAAAGATTACAATTTTGAAATGAAACAATAATTTACACAATCTAAATAATTATGTACTCTATTTCTAATAATATTTAATGTAACATATTCATTATTTTATTCCAACACTAAATTTTAAAAAACATATATGTATGAAAGCATACATACAAAATAAAATCAATTATTTTTAAAAGATATATTATAAACATACTACAAATTATTCTTAATAATTTTTATATTTTTTACATTTTTATAATAAATTTCAATAACTTTTCTTTTATTAAAATAATTTTTATTTTCTTTGAATAGTAATTTGACATATAGATGGCGGTAAACAAATTTTGTCGTTCTATTGTGAATGCTTCTGGCGTTTAATAAGATGACAACAAATTTCCACGTAAAAAAATAATATAAAACGAGTTGTCAAAAGTGCAATTGAAAGAAAGCTGATTTTAACACAAATTTTTGTTTTATACATGTGCTAATTTTGTAAATAAGAATTATTTTAAGAAAACATAAACTAACACAATGGTCTTTGTAAGGAGTTGGGAAGATTTCGAAGTAGCCGCAGAGAACATGTATTTAGCAAATCCAAAGAAATGCAGATATACAATGAAATACGTACACTCGAAAGGACACATTTTATTAAAAATTACCGATAATGTGAAAGTAAGTTAAGGATACAAATACTGGTTACTAATTATGCCTGCATTTATGACTATAGCATTACTTTTTAAGTCCGTTACTTATAAGAAAAATTATCATATATCGTAATTACTTTCTCATACAGGATATTTGATCAAAATATTTCTATGTAATCCTCCAGACTGGTGTGGAAATAGATATTAATTGCGAAATCATATGATTTCCATAGAAAAACATTATACTTTAGGTATTCCTAGTTTGGAGTCATGTATCTTAAATCTCTTCATCTTAAGCAGTTTCGTTACTTTATGCCAATATGTGTTTAATCTAAAATTTGCATACTCCGTTTGTCCATTTATTTCCTAACTTGTACAAATTATACTATTCTTTTAGGATTCTTACATTCACTATTTAGTTTTTGCTTGTTACGATTGTAAGATTCCAAATCGATGGAAGTTCTAATCCGTTTTCACAAAAACAGAGTAACTTTGAGATTGTCCTAATATATTTTAACTTTTAATTAAATTTATAATATCATGTATTTAAATTATTAAATGTAATTTATTATTATATGAAAATTTTAATAATAAATATTCTTTTTAGTGTGTGCAGTATAAAGCGGAAAATATGCCTGACTTAAAGAAAATCGAAAAATTTAGCGGCAATCTAATGGGACACATGGCTTCGAACGAATAATGTTATGAATTATTAAGTTTTTTAACATTGAACAACGGGTGGGGAAAGTGGGAACAGAGTCGTTATAGTTTAAATAACATTTAATAAATGTTAGCTTTGTATACCACTTTGAGAGTGGCGTGCTTAATTATAAAGCATTACTTCATAACGTTAATATAAAAGGCTTTAATTATAAATGATAATAATAAAATGTTTTGTATATGTGAATTTAAAAACGAATTGCATTTTTTCATAAAAATAACACAGTTGAATTATTTGTTAAAAATATTATATAGTAGAGTGTGTAAAATTTGATAAGAAATGAATTTTAAATAAAATTAATTTAATACTTACATAAATCATGAAAAAAGTTGGTTACATTTTACAATCTCTTCAGAATTTTCAATAAAAATATATTTTACAATTAATTAAAATAATTATAAACAAATATTTTTATATATTTTCTTTAGTTCAATATATTATTTTTATATAAAGTGGATGTACTTCGATCGCATCGTTATATGTAGTGTTTTATACCATAAAGAGTTATTTTAATGCACCATAATATTAAATTTACGATATTAATTTCACAATTCAAAATAAAAAATTTACGATATTAGTTTTACAATACAAAATAACGAATACGTTATAGTAATTTTACCGAATCAACAAATTTTATCATACAAAAGTACGTTTAAACTTTAATTGACTTATTATATATAATAAATTTTTACATTACTATATTTCGAAATAAGTGTTCAGATAGATTATTTGGATATTTTATAATAAATGAAGTGTATATTTTTTTTTTAATTTAATTTTATATATTATTCAATTTAATATGACAAACCAACTACGTCTAACACAAAACAACAATCTGATCTGTTAAATTATTTTACTAAATACGTTATATTTAAATATAAATCCATGTTTAAATTGTAGTATATCTAGTATTTTGATAGCGACTTGTTAGGTTGTTTCCCTACTACTTTAATCGGGGCCTTGTGTCTTCTCAAAGGAAGGCTATTCATACATTAGATGCATGCGACTTCCACCTTTAAGGTCACTCTTCGGGTTTAATGTATGGACTGTTTCTCATCCCTTATATCACAATGATTCAGTGCTTGTGCTTAAGTGAGCTTTGATGGAAAACACTGCCGCTCTAACCTAGAATAGTATTATGATAGAGGACAAAAATATCGATCATTTCCTTTTTTGGGAAATATACGAGGGTGGTTTGATAAGTCAGTGACTTTTTGAATTTCCCGCGAAGTTACTCCAAATGCAAAAGTGCTGCCGTGGACTGTAATCTACCAGTGGGCAACTTTCTAATTTTGAGCAAGCTACATCGTTCAGTTGGTGTTTGATAGCCGTTCAAAGCAGACAATCTCGTGAATTTTTACGAAAATGGAAAAAAGTGAATTTCGTCATTTCTTTAGGTTTGGAGAATATGCTGGATGGGGTAGCAGTTCGTATCCCAATTCGTGGGTTTTGGCCACAATGCTTAATCAGCAAACGAAATGATGAATTCGACATTTTTGGTGTAATTTCCTTTAATTTACTCTTAACTAAGGTAGCACGAAAGCTCTTTGTATGGTTAATCATTAGGGGTCTAAATTAAATAAATAATCAAATTGCCTTTAATAAAGTTAATGGGAACATACTATAAGTAGCATGTCATGATTGCACTCACAGCCAAGCAATTGTTGTTGCTTATAATGCAAAACGAAAATTTGACACTGACACAGCTCTTTTCATTTTACATTTACATATATGAATGCAATCATAACATGCCCGTAAAAATATATATAACCCATCAAGCCGCTGTATTGTGCTTGCCTTATATAAATCTTATTATTATTAAAAGAAGGGATTGTGCACTGCGACCGGAAAGATCTATTGTGCCATATAAATCCTAATCCAAATATAAATTTTATTTTGATTAGTGGCTGGTCACCTTATGTACTCTCAATGGAACTGTCAAAATAATTTCTCTGACAGCAAAAATGACACACCAGCAGCAGAAGCGAATAATTTTCACAGCACAACGGTTCGTGTGTGTAGTTAATATATCCAATTAGTTGCAAAATAAATTGTTTTAATATATAAAAATAAATAATTGTCATTATATATATAATGTTAATTTAATGTGCAATAAGAATACATAATATACAAATCTGTAAATATGAAGTTTAAGCAATGTAATTCTAGTCTATAAAATATTGAGTAAAGAAAAAAATGCAGTGAGAGAAAATTATGAAGCAAAACGTAAAATACTGTTAATATATGTGCAAATAAATAAATATAAATATGTTGAAATGTTTATATTATAAAAAATAATATATAATAGAACGTACTTCGTGTACACATTTAAATAAATATTGAAACGTAAATAAAATGTAAGAATGAAATTGCAAATTTTTTGTGTTTGTATTGATTGACGCATGTGATTTCTTTCCCCCCCAAAACAACAGAGGTTTCAAAAAAAAAAATAAAGCAATGGATAATGACATGGAGAACAACCGTGGGCCTCAGCCTGGCGCTGAGACAGTCTATGGCACCGAAGACAACAATATGGTCATGTCCGAAAAGGTGTGTACAAGAAAACCAAATAACCAAATATGTCAAGAAATAATCCTACGCAATTGCACAAGAAAAAAATATAGCTAAAAAGCTAATTTAATAAATATATTAATTATATTAGTTTTAGTTTATATAAATATAGCTAATATTTTCTTATTGTTATTGTAATTGTAATTATAGTGTAAGAAATAAATAGTAAACGGGTCAAATCTTGTAAAAGTGACACGGTTCATAAAATTGTTCATATGCGAAAGTAACTACCTCAGTCCAGTCGTTTTCTATTGCAAAACTCGTGCTTCATTTCATACTCATTACTTCATGCTTATCTTGACTTTTGTACACATATGAGGTTTGCCAGCTAACCAAAGCTAAAATAGATAAATTTTCAAAAATAAAAACACAAAAAAAATAACAAAAACAAAAAACTCTTGGCCCAACAACGTAACAAGTTATTTTTATATCGCCGCACTCGCTTGTCCCCTTTGAGTAAGACGGGTGAGTTTTTGTAACTCATTCGGTCGGAAGTGACGTAGTCGTGGCGTTACACTCATTCAGTTATTCCACGGTAGTAGGAAAATAATTACTAACAACAATAATATTTTTCATCGTTGGTTTCGAATTCAAAAATTCAATTTTACAGTTTTCAACTTACGAATCGAGCACACATTTTCTGGCTTAAGTACAATAGAAATTTATTTAAAAACATTGCTGAATGTTTGTATGTTCGGGTTTGTTTCTGGTCATTGACATTTAAAATTTACATTGCCAAAAATATTTTATGTTGCAGCCAGAAATCAATAATAAATGCCTTGGAGAATGCTAGCCTCAACACCAACACTCAATTAACCGCAATAGTACGTGAGCCATGTGCGCTGAAGACGGAAACAACCCCGTTCGCAATCAACTTATATTTAATCAATGATTTTAATTTAATAATATTTCACATGCATAACTTATCGGCGGTGCCCTAATGGAATTCCATTTTTTTAAATTAGTTTTTATTGATTAGAAAAATATAAATATGCAATTCATAATTGTATGAGATCAAATTATAAAATAAAATCAATATTGTTTTAACGATTGAAATATATATATTTATGAATATTTTACTTCCTTAAATGTTGTTTCTAGAACTATTTCTATATATTTGAACAGAAGATCCAAATATATATTTATGAAAACTTTACTTCCTTAAATGTTATTTCTAGAACTATTTCTATTATAGAACAGAAGATCCGAATATATATTTATGAATACTTTACTTCCTTAAATGTTATTTCTGGAACTATTTCTATATATTTGAACAGAAGATCCAAATATATATTTATGAGAACTGTACTTCGTTAAAGGCTATTTCTAACAATTTCTATAGATAGAACAGAAGATTCAAATATATTTATGAATACTTTACTTCGTTAAATGTTATTTCTAGAACTATTTCTATCGATAGAACAGAAGATCCAAATATATATTTATGAATACTTTACTTCGTTAAAGGCTATTTTTAAAACTATTTCTATAGATAGAACAGAAGATCCGAATATATATTTATGAATACTTTACTTCCTTAAATGTTATTTCTAGAATTATTTCTATAGTTAAAACAGAAAATCCAAATATATATATATGAAAACTTTACTTCCATAAAGTTTATCTCTACAACTATTTCTATAGATAGAACTGAAGATGAAATTTTGGTTAAGACATAGATTTATTTAGTTTGTTTTTTAGGTACTTACAGCTAAAGCTTTTAAGTTGCCACTCCGTTTATTTTTTTCCTAAGTAGCTTAATAATCTTAAATTTTTCAGTAACTATCTATCCTATCTTATTTATCACATCCTATGCTATTGAAAAAAGGATTCAATGGAGCACTGTTTGAGAAAATTGACCAATATTAATATTGATTTGAAACAAAATATTGCGTCTTAAGATTAATGATAGGATAATTTCTTTCAAAATTTTATTACTTAGATTCCGATACAATAAACTTTTGCATATAATTTTACAAACATAACTATATAAAATAACTGTATATGAAAGCATTCCTTATACAGCGATATAGAAGCGCTGTTATACATTGGTCCAAATCTTATTACAGTAAGAGATAGATATAAGCACTTCTATAGTCATGTTTTTTATAAGATATATTTCACTGTATTATATGTTAAAATGTACTATATTATGTTACTGATCTAAGCTCTGGTATCTAACTATTTAAAATTATTTCGGCTCCAATTGATTCAATACTGTACTACATAGGACAAGTTTGTGAAGGAATTTGAACTTTTGATCACATAGATTATTTCAGCACTAGAACACTCTTATTTTCCACTGATAGTGTGTTATAATCCTAAAGGATTAGTCTATAATTTAAAATGCGTATTAATCCTCAAGTACAAACTTACTTCGTCTAGGTAAGAAAAATTTTTAATTTCCCCTCCACAAGACTTCCACGAATACTAGCTGAACTTATGATTGACAAAGGTATATATTGAGCCAAAAATTGGGAAAATATGTGTTTAGAACGAGATCTTTCAATAACCAGTAATCGGAGTATGGATCTCAAAATATTACACAATAATATAATAAATTTAGAATTTAGGATTTATAGGAAAAGGATTTTAGGGTCTATAATAGTTTTTATTACGAAAACACTTAGCACATATTAAACGTACTATTTACGCTATCGAACGCAAGAGAATTTAATATATCTAAAGGGATTGTTTTTCGTGTAATTCTCATGAAATAAAAGATATATGTAATATTATTCCTGTATGCCCGATTTTCAGAGAATATAGACGAATTTTTGATAAAGCAATTCTGTCCGAAAAATAATTTAAAATCTTGTTAAATGATAATAATATTAATAATACTTTTATAATAATATATATATATAATAAACAATATATAATATATATATATAAATAATAATAATATATATATATAATATATATATATAATAAATATATATATATAATAACAATAATATATAATAATATTATTATTATTATAATAATAATATAAAACATAATACCTTTATAAATTTATGAAAAGTGTTTTAAGTTACAGAAGATTAATTATTGAAGAATTGATATGAAAAATAATGTCAATAATATGTAGCACTTTTTGTATGCCAATCTGGCATACAACCAATATGTTATTGTCAATTTAGATCTTAAGTAAAATTTTATAATTTTTGGCAAGTGCTGTATGAATTTTTTCAAATCAATAATAAATAATAATAATATTTGTTTGTTTTCTCGTTATGCACTCTTTCTCGTGTTTCACATTTAGATCGTTTAAGCACTGAAGTATTCTTGTTATCAAAAGATTTCGTCTTATTATTCCAAAGGACTTGTGTATTATTTAAAATTTTAAATACAATCAGGTCCTATTGTTGTATATATGACAAGTCTGTTTTAACTCCTCCAAGGCTGAAAAGAGTTGATATGACAAAATGAAACATACAAGTATTTACTTCTTTATTTATATATAAAAGATAATGTTATGGTTAATCTTACATAAAGTTGGAAACACTACAGCAGCAATCCCATAATCGCTTGTTTTTAACATCCCCTCTATTGATAACATAAATTCTTCTGTGGCATATCAAGTTTTATGCTTCTCTTCCGAGAAATAAAATGCATGAGATAAACGCATTGAAATGCTTGTCTTTTACACTACATAACTTTATTTAATTTGCACATTTATCCAACAAGTTCATTAACATACAAACGCTGACTCATTTACGCAAATATCGACAGCATTTTTATTATCAATTTGCAGTCTTCCGTTTCGGATAGAGGCCGTCTAGTCATGTAGTGAATAAGAGTGCGATTCCAATAACTGTAAATGTTGAATTTACTTGATAAGTCTAAAGTATGTCTAGAGCTGATTACTTGCCTGAAACCTTGCAGATTGAATACAATTATTTTACTAGTTTTCTCCATGATGTCATTCTACATAAGAAACTGGTTGATTTTATTTTTTATTATCATAAAATTGAGTTGATATTTATTTTAAATTTGTTGATTAACATACATAATGAGTAATTTACAAACTTATATTTTAATAATTGATTTGTATACTATTTAAATGTATTAAGTTAGATATTTTGTATGAAACTCATTTGTTTGTAATAAAATTTGGTCTGAACTATGAAATTAAGTTTTAACAAATGTATAAACATATCTTTTATCAAAAAATAATAAAATTACCTTACTAACTGTAAAGCACATATATTTTGTTGGTAGCGCTAAAAATGACCTATGTTTCAATTACTGCAAAATTGCTATCTAAATACCTCTTTTGTTAGTTAATAAAAGTTATTTAAACTAAAACTCGTTCTACGATCTTTTAACTACGATTTAAACTTGTTCTTATTGTTCTTGAAACATTAGCAATACTGCGAATACAAAAGTAAGTTTTCTATCTCAAATATCAAATATCTATTCATGAACTATTACGAGTATAACGGCTAGCGACCTACCCCTTCACTGAAGCAATAAAATTAAAACAATTCAAATTAAACTACCGTGATTTAATAAATCAAATTTCGCTATGGTAAATAGTGCATTTTTATATTAAATACAATTTTTTAAAAGTATAAACATTTAATTTAATAACAGCAAAATTTTTTTATTTTACCATTAATTTTAGCGGTAATTTTTAAAATTCATCTTTCAAGATTTATTTTCAGTAGATTTGTGTCAAACTAAACAAAGATTGTACATTATCTTTATTCCGACATAAACTGATTGAATACTGATACTTCTTAATGGTAACGGAAAATGTTACCTGTAAAATACAAGCATACATGATTTATACAACCCACAAATTAGATTATTTATCATTATTAAAGTTCAAAAAGTATAGTGATTTGATTAGACCTATTGTGCATAGATGTGTTAATTAAGTCGCCTTATATCAAGTCGCCTTATGTATGTACATATAATAATGACAGAGTAATCTACAGAACCTACAGAATACCTACAGATCATGAAATATGATCACATCCGACGTTTATAAATGGTGCCCAGAGTCAAAGATATCTGCTGTTACTGGAAAGCAAAAACATAGTAGCTTACCTTATGCCTATTCTAATTTTGCTTTGTTTTAATAAAAACAAGAACAAAAACTATTGGTATTCAAAAATTTGTATAATTCATCAATGTGATCAAGGTTAAAGCAAAAATACATCTGAAATTTACTAAGCGTTCAACCAATGGCCATTTCATCAATCTAAAACGGGTTCATTTTTATCTCTCATTGCTTTTGATTCGATGAGATTTATACCATTTGGTAGGTTCGCTGGTACTACAGCTAAATTATTAACTCTTTTATTTAACTATTTAACTTTTACTTTTCATTAATTCCATAAAAAAATTATTTATTACTCTGGTACATATAACTTATAATGTTAAACGAATATATCATTCAGATAGGTGTAGGTAGATGTAGTGAAAAGAAATCCATTGTTTTTACATAAAATTGAAAGCTTATTTACCATATTTAAAATAATCCGAATTAGGTCAAATGCGCGTTGTTTTGTTCAATAACTTTCTGCTATTTTGAATGTAATTTCATTATGGGTTTCATAGAAGTCCTTGTCCATTTGTCCAAAAATTATGAAAGTTGATTTTCACAAGCCTCTCTTGAAGCGAATTTTTTACCAGAAAAATGGCTCGCCATTTACAGGAGCTGATGGTAATCACTTGGTGCCAGGTCTGAGCTATAAGATGAATGCATAATAACTTCGCAATCAAGCTCCCAGAGCTTTTGTCGTGTCATCGAAGTCGATATCGATATGTGTGACTTGGCGTTGCCCTGATGGAACACAATTCAATTCCTATTGCCCAAAAAAGACCATATCTAGGCGATTGCTACCTTCAGGCGGAAAGTACAGTTTCGGAGTTAAGAGTTATGCTGCAGGGGAGCAGTTGGTTGGTAGATGATTCCCTGCCAATCCCACCAAACATACAGCAACACCTTCCTGACCAACAATTCATACTTGGTCACCGTTTCAGCCGGCTAACCGCGAATCGACCACGATCGTTTTCGCTTGACGTTGGCTGTTACAATATCAGGAATTTACCATAAACACTATTCACATTTTTAGTCGACCAGGCTATCTAACGTAACCTGATCGAAAAATAAAGGACTTTTTGCTGCACCTAATGTATTATTTAAACAATATGTTTGTAATATAGTGCACTAGAAATCGAAGAATCGGAATATGTTTCCATCTGCATATTTGATACAGAGTAGACTAGTATTTTAGTTTTTGAGATAAATGAATGCAATTTTTCACAGTAATCTTTGGGAATGGACTTTGGACTTTGCACCTTGATATGAGCTCACTAAACAACATATTTGCGGCAATTATCTATAACACTACTAAATCAAACTAATTTTTTTATTGTTTAAAAATATCTTTAGTTAATAATTAATAAAAGTAATATAATATACAAATTTGTTCGGAAAGTAATTCATTATTTTCAATAAAAATGAAAGATGATTTTCTTATAGACGATATTTTTTGGATGTAATATTTATATTGTCTATTCTGGTTGAATACCTTTTGATCTAATAATTTGAAAAAACTTTTGTTGTCTAAAAAATTTTGTAGAGAGCAAAATAAACAATAATCAAAAAGCACCAAATCTTAAAAATATGTTACGTTAATGGCCCTTTCTGCTCAAGTGAATCATTCAATTTGTACATTTATTGTCCATGTCCAATCATTCTTCTTCTTAAAAAACACAACGATACTATACATTATAATGAGTCATACTGAACTAGATATATTATGCTTTGCTACAATAGTAGTACTGTTATGGATCTCATTCTTTAAATAAGTGGCAAGATAAAGACATATTACTACACTTAAATTTATTACTAGTACTATGCCAGAATTTAAATTTATTTATGCCAGAAAAGAGAGTATAATACATTATATAAAATAGCTACAGTGTTGGGGGTATACTATATAAGGAGAGGGAAAAAAAGAAACCCTGCCAATTAAAAACATCTTAAAAGCCTAATATAAACGTGTTAAATCGAATAAAATCTATTTTGATCCATTGTAATTAACTTTAGGGTGCCATTTTGAAGGTACTGGTAGACAACTCATAAGCACTGCATAAGTTCAGGACAATTCTTTAATAAAGAATTTTTTGTAACCTTTTTTAAACGTATATTTTTTAGTTACCTGAATTGTATTTATTGTTAGTAACACACTTTACCTCCGTAGTTGTACTGACCTATATCAAAGGTTTTTAGAATTAATATTTAACAAGCTAAATTTAATATAAAAATAATATGTTAGAGAAATAACCTAGATTGGTGGAGGTGTAGAACGTGGATTTTAATAAATGGTGGTAGTTATTGTTAGTTACGGACTCTACATCTATTGATTAACATGATTTTGGTCAAGAACTAAAAGCAAATTAGAATTTGTAACGAAAAGGCATTTCGTTGGCAATATATAACTTTTGATCTTTAACTATTTCAGTTCAGTTTTTCTGTTAGATTAGGTTTAATTAATTTTTTTGGTCATAAATAACACACAGACCTAATGTGTCAGTCACATTATGTAGAATAATAACACTGTTTCGAAACTAAAGAAACTCCACTTATATGCTTCAAACTCTATTCATGAGACATCTTCCTTCTTTTTTTTTATTACTTTTCTATAAACTATTAAACAATTACATTTACATATAATAATTTTAGTCTAATACTTTCTCGAGATTTTTTTACAATATATGCTTATTAAACAAGACACAAAACACAGTAATAAGTATATTTAACAAAAAATTTATTATAAAAATTTATAAATTATAATAATATAATTTTTTATAATTTATATGTTTTATAAACTATCTATCTAAGGTGAGACTTTAAAAGATTTATTAATTTTTGAAATAAATAATTATTACGACTAACTTAAGAACCATTTTTATATACAATAATTATTTGAATTAATTATAGTTTATTTTGAAAACATCATAAATATTTTTATTTTATTATTTTAGTTTTTTTTTTTTTCTTTTTTCAGAATGAAGAGGTTGTGAGCATCGTGAGTTTTCCTTATTTTCGGTTTAAGTCAAACACGAAATTTTTTTACAAATACATTTATAAACTTTTAGTTAACACATAAATTAGTTATTTTAAATTATAATTACTTTACACATATTAAACGTATTAAACACAAAAATTCACCTGCACAAATATCATGTGAATAAACTCATTCAACTTATTTGTTTTATGTTGTATCTCGAAGACATTGTATCGAATGTAATTATGTAGAAAAATTTATTATTTTGAATTAAATAGTTAATTTTATGAATTTATGTGCTTAAAATAATCGCATGAGTAAGTTATTTGTTTAACTCTCAAAACAACAATTAACCAACATTTTCTTTTGTCATTAAAAAATATAGTTTAACAAGTCCAAAAAAAGCATTGTATTTAATTTTTATTTTATTGCACTTTCTTATTTAATATAATACTTTTTTTTATTTATTTCTATTTATTTTTATTTTTGTAAATAAAAATGTTTTAAAGAAACATTTTCATCTTATTCAAAGAAGATGAAATATCTATCTTGTAAAAACTGTAGCTTCTTCTCTTCACTTCATAGGCACATGCCTACGTACGAGTATAAATGAATTATATGAAATAGTCAGTTTATTCACTAGAATTGGCTCGCCAAGAGCAAGGTCACTTTATGAAAGCACTCTAGAATGAATGCTTTATGATGTAAATGTAATGGAAACAAAAAATTGTATCTTTAAACAAATGAATGTTTTCATGAAACACAAATGATTTCGAGTAGAAAATGTGAAATAACTGCAGGTCTCACTAAGAGCTAAAGATTTTGTATAGATAGTGTAGATCTGCGCCAAAAGTATGTACTCGAATTATAATAAACAATAATTTGTTGTTAATTATATCTATTCAGTATAGTGTGAGTGCGATATTGTCCCCCAAATGTATGAAATTGTATGATATTCATTGTTAAAATATATAATAAACATTCAATTTGTTTTGAATTTAAAGTTTTTTTTTGGCAAGCGAATTTTACTTATTTTTCAACAGGCGTACATAATCGTATATTTTTGAAATCATATAATTCTTGAATGTTAAGTATAGTATCTATAGAAGAAGTGTTTATATTATAAAAATTATTTCATATTATAATATCTGACTACTTGGGTGGGTAGTCGGATTTATATAAATGCTATATACTTAGTACCCGTTCCTCATAAAATAGTTAAATTACTGAAACTTTTCGCATAATTCCAACTATCTAGTAGGTTAAATTATATATCAGTTGTGGCTTGCTGGGTAGCTTCAAAAATGAACAAGTTATAGTTCTCATGTGTCTTATAGATATTATAATAAAATCAGTTTCTCATATCTGTTTTCTATATGGCGTTTCGTTGGAAAATGTCATAGCTTTGGTACGTGATTTCTTATTGCAAGAAACGAAAAAAAATCGTCTCAAAAATCACCCATTTTCAGTTATATATATTAAATTACAGAATGTAGAGAAAAAAACCTTATATTTGTCTTTAAAAACGTCATATACAGATCATTTGCGGCGTTGTAGTTTAATACTTTACACCTTCTATATATATAAATTATATATCTTTTTCGAGTTTAATATTTTATACCTTCTATATATATAAATTATATATCTTTTTCGAGTCCAATACGAAAAATTCCGATACAGTTTTAAATAATAATAAATTAACTCATCATTATTATTATTCCCTTTCGTGAGTAACAATCATCAATAACAAAAGATCTTCATCATACTCTGTTTACAGACAGTAAGTTTTAGGTTAGATCACTAACATTGCAATTTTCTCATTTAACTTTCACTTTTATTTTTATATTACTTGAAGTAATTCCGTGCAGAACTCCAAATTCAACATACCTATATCCTTCACATTAGATTTTTTATCTTGGTTATGCTTTATCTTACATTTTCCTCAATATTTCCGCTTTTTGTTGTTGCTGTAAGCTGTGAAGATCTGCTGGTATAGCCCTTTTTTGGGAACTGTAAGTATTTGGCTATCAAAATTAACGAGTGGCATAGACCCAGTCGATTTATAATTCTTTTTAAAGTAGTAAAGGTAATCTAACACCTCTTATAATACCAAATCTTCATCCATTTTTACTTGGTAGCAGAAATCTGAGTATTTGTAAACAAATAAGTCTTTTTTATTTTCTGTTATAATCCCTTAAGTAATATTCAGACAAACCAGACAACATATTGAATACTTCTCTGAGTTACGAGGGAAGGCATGTAAGATTTCAGCCAGCCAATATAGTTCTGTTAGTTGCATGTACCCCAACAAGCGAAATTTTATTTAAATTACATAAAGTAAAGGGAAACTAATCCGTAGAAAAGCTATAATTAAACCTTGTTACCTCAATGAGATGGAATCACAAAAAAGTTGATCGAAACATCTAGTCACTGCCACGTTTTTGAAAGGAAATCTAAGCTAGTATGTTATAAAGCCCACAAAGTTATCTTGTATTTGTTTAAAAGCAGTAGTTGATTCATTCTTATTTTATAAGAATGTGGCATTTGCATTATTAATATGTTTTTTAAATAATATGTGCTTATATTACTGTGAGCACATCATTTCATCAGATTTCTTTTAAAGTAAAATAATTCAATAAGAAATCTTATCCGAAAATGTTAAATATAATACCTTAAAAAACATCTAACATGTTATTTTTTTCAAACCTTAAAATTAAGGATGGCATGGAACCATCCAAAATCTCATCAGGGAGGGAGATAGCAGTAGAGAGAGAAAGAGAAATGAGGAAGTGAGATGACAGTAGAAAGAAATGGAGAAAAAGAAAGATCTATGAAGGAAAACACAGATACGGAAGAAGGAAGAAAAAATTTGTTGAGATAAATAGAGAAAGACAAAAAGAGAGATGGATAAAGTTAAAAAAAGTGGGAGAAATAGATAGAGGGAGAAAAAGAAAGAGATGGCTGTATGTAAAGAAAGAGAGAAAAGTAATGAAAGTTATCACCAGAGATAAACAAACAGTACAGTTCAATAAAAAAGAATTGAGGTTGAAATTTTCGTGAAAGGCGCTGAAAACTTGAAGTAAACATTTAAGTAATCATATAAATCCATTATCATGACACTTAATATTAATTGCCAGTATTTCTTTAATGCCAGTTTTCTTATAAGGCATAAGAGTCTTTTCTTATTTATATAATACCGAGAAGAAATTTTTTGTAAACCTCTATTTTCTTATATTATTTACTTGCCTATAATTAATTCGTGTCAGTTTTCTTACTCATTCATTGGTACTTGATGTTAGATTGAATCGTTCTCGTTTTCGAAATTAGTTGTTTTCTTGCTTTTCATAAAAATAAGCATACAACTTAAGTAACTGCCGATCATATTTATTTTCATACGATACATACATATATTTTTGATATTAAACGCACTTTTAGACTCAAGCATTCACTCATTCGAATGCATTCATTTGTTTGATATTTAACTTCAAAAACAACTGCACCTTTGTAGTTAAGAAAATTAGAAGGACAATAGCAATGTTATAAGATATATATGTCATTAACCAATTAGTTCGCTTTGATAAATTTGATAAATTTTGTAAATTTGTAAAATGTAATCAATATTTACTTGAAAATCATTTGCTTTTTGGTCCGAATGTTCAAATATAATTTGTAAATGAATTTGCGAATACTTAGATGCAGTTCATTAATGCTCTCTGGTTCAAATACATACCAATATACGATTAATTTCTTAGATTATTTTTTCATTCATTAAAAAAAGTAATCTAATACCAATATATGTATTTTAAACGATATTTGTACATATGCATATAATAATATCATTATAATATTATATTTATAACTTGCACATGGTCTACTTTTAGAGTACTTCGTATTGTGCTTGTAATATTTTAATTGTGTTAATATAAATGTACAAACTATCTGTGTAATATTATGTATATATATACTTATGTATACATATATGTAAAAATATCATCATTTTGTCCGCATATTTTTATTTTACTATGCTCATTCAAAAATCTACTTATCAAATTTCTATGGTTTTGCACCACATAGGTGTCAAACCTAAGTTATTTGAGCATATATACACTTCTTCTTTTCGTACAAGTTCGAAAAGTATCTTATTAAGAGCTACATTTTTTTCGATAGCATTACTTTAGTACATTAAGAGACAGCCGTAACTTAAGTTATGCTTAAATCATCAAATTTATTGACTTTAGTCATATTTATGAAATTATTAAGAATTGACTTGAGACTATGAAATCGGTTTACAGATAAACAAAAAAACTATATATATTATATATAATATTACTTAATGTTATAAATTTGTATAAATTGTAGCGAATTCGATAGTCGGTCTGAGCGCGCTAATTATTCACGGTTTGGAATTTCAGTGATTTGCCACTTTATTCATAACCGTTTACTTAATTGACTCCAGCAATAATTAAATTAGCCAATGTATATGAAGTATGAAAGATACTCGTATCGTCTGTCTGCCAGTTCGTCTAATGCATGTAAAAAGAGTGACTGAAAAAATTATATTTAATTAACAAGTAATGTAAACTTTGCTCAGACATTAACAGGGTTAACGAAAGTAATTAGTCTGCTGTAATATATATTATGTTATACCTATATTAAATTTAAAGTATGTTTTGTTAACAATTATTAAACATTTGTTCACATATCATTAATTATATTTTTTAATTTTGCAATTCATTAGTGTTATATTTCTTTACAATAGCACCTACTATTACTTTGATCTGTAATTAATACTTTTGAAATATGTATCAATTTTTAACTGACCCTCAAAAAGTCCTTTTACTCACATGCTCAGTGTAAAAGCTATCTATATCTTAACTGTAATACTTTTTTTTCATTTATCTGTAAATATATTTGAAATCATATTTTCTTTTGAAATTCATCTCATAGGTACAACAATTGGCTGGTAGTATTTATCAGGAATTCGAACGCATGATAAATCGTTATGATGAGGATGTAGTCAAAAATCTGATGCCACTTTTAGTGAATGTACTCGAATGCTTAGATGCTTCATATAGAATAAATCAAGAACAAGATGTGGAATTGGAATTATTACGTGAAGATAATGAACAGTTGGTAACGCAATACGAACGTGAAAAGGGTGCACGAAAACAGTCCGAACAAAAGGTAAATAATATGGATATTAATAAATTCTTTTGTTTAAAAAGTTTTTTAATTTCTTAGCTTCTCGAGGCGGAAGACTTAGCAGAACAGGAAAACAAAGATCTAGCAAGCCGTTTGGAATCATTAGAGAGTATAGTGCGCATGCTTGAACTCAAACATAAAAACAGTTTAGAACATGCCAGTCGTCTGGAGGAACGTGAATCGGAACTTAAGAAGGTGCATACAAAAAGTTATTCGCGAAATATGTGTTATAGTGTTCTCAAAAATTGTTGAAAAATAATAGATTACCTTAAAAAAGTATTCTTAAGTCGGGAAATTATTTTATTCAAATGTGAATTTAAAAACATTTAACGACCAAACTCTTGATGTAAGACTGATTAGACGTAGAACTATCTTATGTAAAAGAAAAGAGTCTTTATTAAAGTAGACTTTCCTTGTATTAATATATTATTACACACAACCTAAGAAAGGTTTATGATCTTCAACAGAACTTAATCTTAGTGGATTTTTTAACTCAAGTTAATATAATTTTAAACACATTAAAATCTATGAAAGAATCATGGTCTTTAAGTTTTCCGTATGTCGTCTATTTTCATCAGTTTTTATTAACCATATGTATATTAGAAATTGTTTATTTTAGTTCCGTTCCAACAGCAATGTCTTGTCTGCTCTATGACAGTTTTTTGAGCCATATACATAGTTTCTACAGTGATAGATCAAGTAAAATGGAAGCCAAATAACATTCTTCACATTCGAGTTTACATAAAGATAACAAGCCAACAATTAACAAAGGCTCCAGAAGCCGATAGTTCTACTGCGGTTTGTTTGGGAAATCTTCCACGCTTACCTCATTCTTAACTTTATTTTATTAAAGTTGTAAGAGATGTAACTGTTTTTTACAATAATCATTAGGGAGCACATATCTTTCAATATCTCAATAGTCCGTTAAACAAAAAAATATTTTCCTATATGTAACTGAACATTTCAAAGTTAATACTTTAACGTCAAACGAACAGAGACTTTGAGTATCTTATGTATAGAGTATCTTATGTGGAAAGTCGGGATAAACCATTTATAATATATTAAATCTGGAATCCAATAATAACTAAGTTACTTAAAATTGTTAAGATTATTTCCGAGTATTGGAAATAAGTACGAAACTCATATGCATATAATACTTAAACATATTTTTCATATATTTATTCGTGCACATATTTTATATAATATATTAAACCCTCTCTTTTATTAGGAATACAATAAACTCCATGAACGATATACAGAGCTGTTTAAAAATCATGTGGACTATATGGAACGTACGAAAATGCTCATGGGCTCAACGCATTCGCAAATGAGTTCGGCTTCAGAACGTCTGGAAGTTAACAGAGCCAGGTTAAATCCAATTGCTCGGTAATGCTTTACTTGTTTCAATTTTTTTTCGATAGCATTTGATATTTAACCTCAAACTATAGCTTACTAACTGTGCTTGTTTTTTTCTTTAATTCTTAGGCAGCAAAAATATATTTTGCTTTAAATAAATACTTGTTTGTTTGCCTATTAAAAAGTTCTTAAAAACCTATTTATTTTTTTAAGCAGTAACTAATATATATGTTTTTTTTTTCTTAAAATTATATAGATCTTCTGGCCCAGTTTCTTATGGTTTTGCTTCTTTGGAAAATTCTGTTATGTTAGACACAGAAACTATATGCAGTAATTCAGATGATTCAGGACCTCCTTCACTACAAAATGAATTGGAACAACTACAAACGATGGAACGTTCAGCTGAAACGGATGCACTACAACAACAAAATCAAGCTACTTCACCGCAGAGCGATATAAGTCCTGTTGTGCCAAATATACCAACAAATGGTTAGTACTTTATATACATATTAGATTTAAAGATTGTTTGATTTATTTTTAATTTTATATTTAAAATTAACAATGTATTTTGTCTTAATTACTAATATTAACATTTTTTATTTTTTTCTTTCATTCAATCTACATATGCATTATTAAAAATCTAAATCCAAATCTAAAATTAATAATGTTTTTGTTCTAATAACTGACTTGGATGACTATAATAACAATACACAATCATTACACACAAACAAAAACACCACTCCAATTACTACATCCAATAATTTTGCTGTTGTTATAATCCAAATCCGATTCACATTGACATCAAAACGCATTTAATACTCATTTATTTAGTTGGTCGGTCAACTACCAAAAAGGAGCAACGCTCTGCAAATACATTGTACCAAGAGTTATCCTTTCAAGATAACGAAGAAAGTGAGGAGCATGAAGTTGTTACAGGTACGTGGTTAAGGGAAATGTTAAAATTAAATTCATCACTTGTTAAATATTGTAATGTAATAGTACTAAGCCAGAGGAAGGTTTTTATTTAAATTTTTATACAATATAATAATTGTATATAGGGTCTAAGATTAATAATGTAATGTAAATAATTTATAAAAACCAAGTTGATTAAATCGAAATATATTTTTACTGTAATTGCTAAGCAAAAGTTCATAAGCAAAATTAAGTTAAAATTATTACTATATTCGTATAGTAATAATATATATTACTACATATCATTATTTTTATCATATATATAAAAACTATTATAAAAAAGATAACGTTTAAACATTTACTTTGTTGAAATAATAAATTAAGTATCCGTCTTTGTCGAAGTTAAGACTATTTTTCCAGTTCAAGTCATCACTTTTATTATAAAAAATTTTAAAGTATAAGATATCTATTTCGTTAAGATAACAATTTAAGTATCTTCGTATACGCATAGACGATACTATATTGAAATGATCAATAATGAGATATGCAGAAAATGCAGATCAAAAGAGACTTGGGAACATATTGTATGTTTATGTCCCACACGATCAATAACACATTAAAAATACTTTAAATTGTTCTAAGTTATTTTAGAAATGAAGCTTCAAGTATTTCTTAAAGTCACGAAAAACGTGGTCGTCTTAAATGATGTTTACTACAAACCATTATAAGGTTTGACTACATATAATATCATTCAGAAGATACAGGTCTAGGCTTATGACCAGTTAAGTTAACGTAGCTTAATATTGATTAAAATTTTCATAACCAATTAAAATCATCACTTCTGCTAGTCTTTAAGTAATATAAACTTCTGAGGAATCATTTCAATCATAATATTTAATAATTGGGCCCTTAATAGTTATTAAAGAGTGTTAGTATTTCTTTTTCTTATTAGATCATATGTTAATATTTTCTAAAATTAAATAAAAGTGATGTTTACGAATATTCACACGTAAATTATATAAAATTGTAAAATAACAAAATAATATTACATATTTAGATTATAGTCATAAATAGCTTTATTATAGATTTTATGCTTAATTTCATTTGAATATGAAGCACAGGTAGTCTGTGAAAAAAAGTGCTGGAAACCTGCACTAGGAGAGAAGACAAATTAAGTACGAATTATTAAAAAAAAAATAATTACAAAAATAAAAAAGTGCTGTTATAAAGTTATAAAAATGCTTTTTAAAATTTATATAGGTTTTCAAAAAAACTGGTTTAATATTTAGTACATTTCGATTTAATCAACTAATTGGTTGTATATTAAAAACAAATATTTATACAAATTATATTGAATTATGTTTTCATAATATATATTCATATACATGCTTTTTTTAATTAAAAATGTTTCCATCACCTCCTTTAACATTTTTACTACTCTATACACAAATACATGGAAAAAATTTTACTGGATCGACACGAACTCTGCCACCCAACACTTATACACAACAGGAAGCTGGGTACACCCTGGAGAATATGCATCTTCAGGTAGGTATCAAAACTCCTACTTGTATGGGTTTTTATATGTCACTTGTAAATACATAAAACACCAAATACTATATAAAGTATGAAGTATGAAAAACCCTACAAAGGATTACTAATCAAAAAATCAATATACGAAAAATCGGTTACTAATATCTTCAAAAATCTATATATAATATATAAACTAAAATTGTTAAATTAAAAACATTTGTTTGAAACTCATCTATTTGTCATGTTCCTTTTTTAAAAAAAAATTAATGCGCACGTTTTCTGCAACTGTTATTTTATAAAATTTTAAAATAATTTTATAAATTTTATGGACTTCCACACAACGTCTTTTACATATGTACGTTCAGCTAATGACAACTTTTTTGGTAAGTCGAGTCCTAGTTTAATACATATACCTATAATGTTGTATGTAGTTTTTTTTTTATTTTTAATATAGTAATTTAAATAGAAAATTGGTTTAGGTGTCTAATTTGCTATTTTCTTTTACATATATTGTTAATATTTCATTAATTATTTTTAAAAAAATTTCAATTTATAATATTTATAATCAAGGTATTGGTTCTATTAATATAACTTCAATTTTTTTTTTTTTTGTAAATAATTTGAACATTATTCAGAAGCTCGAAGGTGTCATTCACTCAAAATTTTGATATGGTCTTCATATAGATTTGGTTTTGAAATATACACTTGGATAAAGAATTCTGGTTAAGCTCATCAGTCACACTGATTGAAATCATTTATCATATCGAAATAACTAATTTGTTTTGAAAGACTAAAATTCATTTCTTTAATTTTTTTTATTTAATTGGGTTTCTTAAGTGTGATCTTGTCTAAGTTCTAATTAATTACATTGTCTTACGGGAGAATCATAAAGCTTAAAAAATCGAATCAAAATTCATTTCATTAATAGAACGACTTGCATTAATATAGATAATTGATGATATTAACATATGCATACGAGTATAGTATTTTACATTAACAGGGTATTCAAATAAAAAATTATTGAATTAATATATGGTATGAAATACATATTCATGAGATAATCACTATGAGACGTATTCACTATTAGAACGATGGGCTCACTTAGGCTTCAAAAATTAAGCCTATTATGGTAGCACAGTGTAATCACTATTATTCAACTGCTGGATTAAGTAAAAACATTATTAACTGAAGCAAAAAATACTTTATTATTTGATATAACTTCACCATCCCATAACGAATCTTCATCGGAGTCATAACAAATCTTTAAGAAGTTTAGATGATCTATAGCCAGATAATTAGACCAGCTATCTACTTTATGGGTGTGTCGCGTATCACAAAGCTGCCAACTCTACCATCCAAAAACTGGCAGAGTTGCTCAAAGTCAGGCTCTCCGAAGGCTCTTCAAAGTGCCATGGTACATCCGCACGAATGACATGCTGAGACCTTAGAATAGATCCGGTCAAAAATACATAAGGGACAGAGCTCTGAAGCTATGTACGAAAACCGACAGGCTGCCCTACTTAGCACTATCTAATCTCAGAGTAATCACTAACCGCACGGGGCGGTACGCAGATCTTAGATCAATCATTGAATAATCACGAAGATTATCAGGAATACTCAAATTAGTCAGTGAGATGAGCTGAACTCTGCAGAATCCCCCCAGCTATCTTACAGTAAAAGTGCACAGATGCACTAACTTGGAAAAGGCTCAACATAAGACATAAGATAAGATGTATCGTCCATTATGATACCCTTTAAATTGCCTGGAAAAGGTGAATTACCCATGAGACAATCACTACTAGGAAACGATTTTTTAGAACATCGAAATTAAAATGCCAATGTTAAGAAGCTTTGCCTGTCGTATACAAGTGGTTCTGGCATGTAGACATGACCGAGCAATGATTGTAGTTCAATCATCAAGTTGATTGAATCATTGAGTACCTTAAAAATTACAGCAGTTTTGTTCTTAGAGTTTTACTCTGTTAATAACCATATGATCGTTTTCCATAATCTCTTTAGATGAAAATATAAACAAAGGATGTGCTCTATAATTTTGAGCGTTCTTGGACTCCTGCACAAGCAAAAGCAAATTCCTTTAGTAAATAAGAGAGGTCGCCGTTTTTGTGAATTTGTTTTTATTTTGGTTTCATTTTTTCAGTTGAATCAATTTTCATTCCCTGGTAGTGTCTAGTAGCTCTATTGATATATTAAAAAATTATCTGTTTCTTTTATGTATCATAATTTTTTATATAAATAACAATTTATTTTTTCAGTTAAATTAAATTTTTATTTGATCATTTGAATCATCACATAATGGGAACCATTTCAAAAGTAATTATTTTGTAGTAAAATAAATAGTAACTAGTAAACTTTTGAGTAGATAAATCTTATAATAATCTGAAAATAAAACATTTTAAAATAATTAATCTTTCTTCTTTCGTTATTTACAGGAATGGGCAAAGAAGTGGAGAATCTTATAATGGAGAACAATGAACTTTTAGCTACAAAGTAATAAATTTCACATCTACTTTTTTTTCTTTATATACGTTGAAAATATAAAAATCTTTTTTCAATATTCTAGGAATGCGCTCAATATTGTTAAAGATGACTTGATTGTGAAAGTCGATGAACTTACAGGAGAAATTGAGATTTTGCGCGAAGAATTGAATGCCATGCAACAATCACGTAACAAGTTACGTCAAAAAGTTAGTGAACTTGAAGACGAACTCAAGAAAACCAAAGAACAAGTCAAACAACAAGGTACTGATATAAGCTTTCTTTACCCATTTTTTTTCTAATTATTATCATTGGAATCAATGTTTAGCTGACACAGAACAGGATGAAAATGATGTACCTTTGGCACAACGTAAAAGATTTACACGTGTTGAAATGGCCATGGTGCTTATGGAACGTAATCAGTATAAGGAACGTTTAATGGAGCTACAAGAAGCTGTACGTCTAACCGAATTATTACGTGCCTCACGTACTGTTGAAAATTTAGATAAAAAATCTAAACAAAGTATTTGGAAATACTTCAGTAGTCTATTTACGTAAGTTTGCAAAATCTTTATATCACATCTTTAAATACTTAATAAAGTTATTTTAATTTACTTTTAGCCCCTCCAATCGCCCACAAGAGCGTGTCGCTGATGGGCAGGGAGGGGGGCCTATGTTTCGTTACTCAAGCCCCTCACACAGTCACGGATCCCCCAGTCGAAATAGCGACAATCGCCTTGCCTTAACTGGACGGGATGGCCTAAATCCTCCACCACATCCTGCCAGTGCTGGTTTAGCAAATGCACTTATTATAGCAAAAGATTACTCTGATGAAGGTACATCAGAGCGGGCCAGTGCGCGAAGGCGAGAGCAATATCGACAGCTGCGTGCACATGTACAAAAAGAAGATGGTCGCTTGCAAGCTTATGGCTGGAGTTTACCTATAAATAAATCATCACAAGAACCACCTAATCGACATTCTGGCGGAGTACCAGTGCCTGTCTATTGTAATCCACTTGCGGAAGCATCGCCGCATATGAAAGTCTTCTGTGCTGCAGGTGTTAATCTGAATGGTGGTTTTACTAAAGATGGCCAGTCGGTTATACCTGCGACATCACCTTACGCTCCGCGTAGTACAGCTAAAATCGCCGAAATCACTAGCCCTACAGCTGAGCATTCAGCAGAAGCGTTAGATCGACAAATAAATCGAGCTAGTTTAGAAAATTTAGAACCAGAAACACAGCTTACATCCTATATATGGATTTGTACCAGCACACATGCAGCAAGTACCGTTACAGTCGTTGATGCAAATCAATCTGCTAATGTTTTAGACGTTTTCCCAGTTTGTACATCACATTTGTTATGCATAGCATCAGTGCAAGGTATTTATATTTATGAAATATTAAAGAAAAACAACTAACATTCTCATATATATATTTTAAAGGTGCTATGGAAAAAGATTATGCATTACTAGAAAACTCTGAAGTTATAAAAGCAGGTGAAATGCTAGAAAGACCTGGTGAAGGTACCGAGTTATTTGGAAAAGTTGAATTTATACGTGTACGTCCAAAATCAGATAAAAATAGTAACACCAAAGATTTTAATGCTGATGAGCAGGCGCAGGAAGTTACAGCGGAGAATGCAGTTGAAGAAAAAGCAAAAGAGGCTACAGAGAAATCTAATCTACAAAATGGTATTGCAGAACCTTTAGGTAATGTGCAAGAAATTAAAATACGACATGCATTGCCTGGTGCACCACAGCGTTTACACACACAAGATAATACTATTGTTACAGCTACTAATAATACAAATAATAATAATGCCACCGCTCAGCTGCCATTCTCCAAACCCATTAATCCAGTACTCGGTACAAAGGATCGATTAGAGCCCCCCATGAGTTCAGTTGGTCCGACAATGTGGTTAGGTGCACAAGATGGTTCACTGTATGTGCATAGTGCTGTTGGTCGTTGGTATGAATGCCTGCATAAGGTTCTCCTGCCCGATGCCGTCCTTGCGATAGTTCATGTCGAATCGCGCGTTGTTGTGGCCCTTGCTAATGCACAACTTGCAGTATTTCGCCGACAAACAGACGGCCAATGGGATCTGAATAGTTATCACCTAGTTACGCTCGGTGATCGTAATCATTCGATACGTTGTCTCTGTGTGGCTGGCGAACGTATTTGGGCTGCACATCGCAATAAAATCTACATTGTAGATCCGATCTCATTGAATATTGTACATTCGCTTGAGGCGCATCCGCGTAAGGAGAGCCAAGTACGGCAAATGGCTGCAACAGGTTCCGGTGTGTGGGTTTCAATACGGTAAGCATGTATAGTGTAATTTTTTTTATGGATATAAATGAATTTAAATGAAACAAAATATTTTATTACAGTTTGGACTCTACACTGCGGCTTTATAACACATACACTTTCGAACACAAACAAGATGTAGATATTGAACCTTATGTTTCGAAAATGCTCGGTACTGGCAAATTAGGCTTTTCCTTTGTGCGTATAACAGCATTGATGGTATCTTGCAATCGCTTATGGATTGGTACTAGCAATGGTGTTATTATATCTGTGCCATTATCCGAAAATCTCAATAAATCTTGTAATTAATATTGAATTATGTGGAAGAAAAAAATTTTATTAATTTATTTCTCTGCAGCTGATCCAAGTAGTCAAATACCTCTATGTTGTATGGCTAATGCTCAACTTTCATTTCATGGGCACCGAGATGCTGTAAAATTTTTCGTTTCTGTCCCAATGCAACAACAAATTGGAAATCAATTACAATTCACAAATAAACGACCTGATATGCTGGTCATGTGTGGTGGCGAAGGATACATAGATTTCCGAACAGGTATATACATTAATATTAGGAATATGCAGAAATGTGTCTATTGTCAATAATTTAATTATAAATTATTTATTAAAACTTATAATTTAATTCCAACATTAAAATGTATTTGTTCGTATTTTATCGTATGATTTGTGTGCAGGACAAGAAAAATCATTTATCGATGCAAGTGATAATGAAGCGCATTTGATAGTTTGGAAAGTTGATACGTAAGCCTTCTTTTCTTTATAATTTAATTGCGTTTATTTTTCTTTTGCTTTACTAATTTTTAATTACCGTTTTCATTTTGATGCTTTTTCTTTTTCTTTATCTTATTAATAAAACTAAACAAAATATAAAAAACTGATTGATTACATTTTTTATTTTATATTTCTTAGAGTATTTAATTTGTAGTTTAGTGTTTAAAATTGGAATAATTCAAGCGCACTTAGTTGAGAAGTATGCTCATCAATTGGCCGTCCTAGACTTCGATTAAAATTTTTCGAAGTACTTCATTACCTGCGAACAGTGAAAAATTAAATAAACAAAGGTTGTGTTCCCATAAATTTTTAAATTGTTATTTCTGTAGTGGTTTGATTTTGATTTTGATTTTAATACTTTTAAGTTTCATTTGTAATTGTCTATAAAGCATTTTTAATGATTCCCCAAGCTTTTCGAAAATCACAGTCTGTCTTGTAAAATTTTGTACTTTTAAAGCAGTGTTTGCACTTTTATTTTCATTATTAAATTTTGTTAAATGGTTTTGGTTAAAATTGTTTTATTTCCTTAATTTTTATTAACTATTTTATAATTAATTTTTTTTCAATTGCTTTCCAATTTTGTATATATTTTCCCCTTTCTTATATATTAATATTCTTTATTGATTTTGAGAGTTATTTTGTTTTTCAATACAAACTACCAAACAAGCGCATATCATTGTTTAATTAAAATTAATTGCTTTACCACACAAGATGTTGTACACTTGAATATATTTTAAAAATTCCAAATTTTAATTGTAAGGGTCTGGAAAAAATTATTAAGAAGTGTAAATAAGATTCGCGAATATTAGGTAAAATTTACAAAACGTGTTTGATGATATAGGTCTTGTTTCATATTTATCAAGATAATTACGATAACTCTATGAATCCGAGGTTTCAAAGTTACTCTACATCAATCCAGGTTTGTTTCAATTAGATCTCACCCAGCCCACATCCATTTCTTATCGCAAACAATTATTCAATTCCTCTCACTTAGTCCGTACTTAATCCACATCCTAACCCATGAATCCCATAAATTTTGTGGATTCGTGCTTTCTGCAATATGTATGTACCAAGAAAATAACATACCGAACATTGAAGACTGATATTTGTGTAGGATTATTCATATCGTGATCCCGATTTGACAAGTACTATATGTCAAATAAAACTATGAATCAAGGTTTTGCATATTAAATTTAACTTTACCATTTCACAGCATGGATAAAAATGTTGAATATTTTTCTTCCCAAATTTTTTTCGGTAATAAGGTTAATTATTTACTTAATATATAACATATCTCAATAAAATTAATTTATGATTTCGGGTAGTGAAAATAAGCAACAAACAGTCGAGGAATTATATCATCCACAAAAGGTCAGGAGTGGCGTAGCGTTTGAGTTAGACATGTGACATATCAAATCTAATCGTTGTAGCGATATAATTTCCAACTAATTTGGGTGTGAAATGGTAGTGGAACTGGATGATATGTGGCTTAAACAGGCAGTGGCACAAGCCATATACATATTCTATTTTTGCTTTGTTGCGCGTGAAATTTCCTAGGTGTATCTGGGTGAAGTAAATTGACCTCCGTGATCACTTATTGTTTATTGGGTAACATAGTTACAGAGCAAACCGGCAACCACAAAACACTTACTGTGTTACCCCGTTACCAAACTCATCACTCTTGCTCTTGAATGTCATTATTTTCAATAATAAAAATATTCTGAATATCTGAGGTTGTTTATTTAACAATACAAAAATTTTATTTAATTCAAATTTATTAAATATATACTATATATATTTCGATCTAGCGTGTATTCAAATTTGTGTAAGGCCTTGGGTGTAATTTTTATTGTTGAATTTTTGATTGAAGTAGAATTTGAAGTAGTTACCTACATCTGTAATTGGAGCCTTTATTGATAATTATCACTTCTTCAAAGTTTGGAGTATGGTTCATCGAATTGCAGTGGATCCCTAATGCTGTCTTTTGGTTATTGGTAGTTCTTCGGTTATTTATATATCGCGTTTATAACCAGCGATAAATATCTTATAAGCTGCTAAAAGCCTGATAGTATTTTCATAAAAGGAACAAAGATATTTCTTGTCGTCAAAGGATTGATGAAGCTTCATAATGAATTGTATTACTAGAAAGGTAGAAAGTTGATGGCAGACTTCAGTAGCTCATGATCATAAGTGGGCATTTATTGGTTTTATACCCCCGGTTTTACTAACTAGAAGTAAAAGTAGTTCTACTTGTAACTGCTAGTAAGTTAACTATAACTTTTTGAAACTCTTTTTAGCCATTTTACATATAGAGTTCTACTGTTATATAAATTAAAATAAACTAGAAATAATTATATCTGTGTCTATGTAATAATATGAAATTATACGAAGGATATTATTTATCATTTATACTTAAACTTATTTTTATTAGACTATAGAAATATTAAGTTAATTGTTGTTGTTGTAACCCACCGGGAACTGCTTGTGGAGTCCCTTTGGGAGGTGTTGAACGGTACTTGGTCGTTGCAGGTGACGAGTGGCTCCGGGACGTAGACCCGACCGTTCTTGGAACCATTAAGTTAATTAAAATCTAATGAGAAGTCATCGATTAACAAAATTTCAATTTGTTCTGAAGAAAATAATTTTGATATTTAAAAAATATTTGGCAACTTTTATCTTATTTTTTTTTTACCTATAAAAATTTTACGGAGCAAGACAAGGGTACTATGGCATGTTGATAATATATAAAGTTTGAAATATTGTTAAATGGTGTTGATTAGAAGACATGAAAGTGAAAGAAAATTTAAAAATTTAATTGCGTTAATTATACACGTCTGTATATTTCAAACAACACAACTAATCACTAAAAATTTTTAAATAATCACTGAGTTTATTTGTTTATGCAATTTTACTAATTTTAAATAAAAAATTTTTTTACATTCTTTTTAAAAACATTTCTTATATTAATTTTCAGATGACAATGAAATGGAAAATAGTATTCATCTGGAACCAAATCAAACAATTAAGAATCGTTGCGATAAAAGTTATTTAATTGTGTGGCATGTTAGTCAACGTTAGTTTTAAAATATTTTATATATAATTTTAATTCTTTACAATTAACTATATATATAGTTAGCTTAGTAAATAGTTAACGTGAGTAATATTACTTTAAGTTTAAGATAGATAATTTAAATCATTGCAACTAAATCCGTGCACTCAGCTGTAATAGATTGACTTAAATTATCTGTGTATATGTTATAGTTTTTTTTTTAATTCTAGACAAATCAATTTTTTTTAAAACTTTAAATTAATATACAAATTTGTGCGTATAACAAAATTAATATAAGTGAAATGCTTTCACTTTATGCTATTATTAATACTTAAATTATGTTTGTATAAGCTTTTTAATATCATATATGTACTCTGATTATATTGTATTTATGGTAGTTATACATATGCTTTATATACATTATAAACGTGATAAATTTTAACCAATTTATTAACATTTAACCAAAAAGACGTTTTTAGGACCTCAGTAATATCTATGATAACTATGTATTTATAAGGATTGTATATAATGCAGTGGATTGTGCTCAGATTAATTTAATAAGAAAAATGTACTGTTATTTAATTGTATTTACACAAGTATTGGAAATCAATTTTATATATTACCATTTTAATAAGTCAAAAAAACTTTAAAAGCTTTCATTAGGAAAGTGAAAAATACTCATGTAAAAATTTTGTATGGGATCTCATTTTTATGTTTTTTTTAGAACAGAATAATGAGACAAAAATATAGCTCATTTAATAGTTTTTAAATTGCTTCTTATGAGTAATTCAGTTTAAGTTATGGAAACAGTTGTAAGTCACGAATTTTACAAATTTAAAATCTCTTCAAGCTTCTTGAATCTGTACCCTAATCTAATAAAAAAAATTAGTGCATCAAAGTGTTTGAGCATTATGATGTGCTTTAAATTTGTTTTTTCGAATATCAAAATGCTCTATTAAAGCCGACTCAACGTCACTACCTCCGCTTACATGTATAACCAACAAAAATCAATTTTGAGCCATTTTTATCACAATTATTACATGTATTCAATGATACAAGGGTACCAATTTTGTGGTTCCAAAAGAAAACTTGATTTAGATTACAATCAAATATTTTTATATATTGTTTGGATCTTGTCATTAGATGTGAAATACATGATTCAAATGTCCTTTATGGGGATAACTTACAGTACTTGAAGAGGTGATTTAGATTCGATCATATTTTCTCAATATATACTGCTCAATATATAGTATCAACAATATTAATATATTTGTTTGAATTTTAAAATTTACATAGTTTTAATAATATGTTTCACTTATTCCGCCAGAACACACTGGATTAATTCAGCAAATTGAAACTGCTTTTATAAATTTTCAATCAAAGATGTTGACCTTAGATTGGTTTTTGATTAATAATTAATTCATTAATATAATGAATTAATTTGCGCTAGAGACTACACTAGATAAAACTTAAGGGTTAAATATATGTAAGGAAAAGACATAGAAATATTATTTTCAATCACATGAAAAACGGTTGAACCCCACGAGGCTTTTAGTCAAATGTGGTTAAAATTGTCCGAAATTTAGTTGTTTGAGGACATTAGGCGCATTGAAATGTAAATGTCCTGTAGTCTTACACTTAAAATACAATATAACAATATCTTAATATACATATATCCTTGTGCTTAGGATATACTCCTTATAACATAAAACTTATGTTTTACAGAGTTTAACATATATTATATTTCAATAGGAATAATGAAATGGAAAAGCAGTGTCTAATATCTATTAGTTTAAAGGGACTGTGGTTTTTCTGATGATTATATTACTGTCTGAATTTATTCATAAAACTTTTCTTAAAAATTTATTATCAAATATCTTGTTATCAAGCCTAGTATATTTTTCAATTGTATTAATCCTGCTCATATCGACACTTTCCACTGTATAATAACAATCTGAATTTAGAATTAACTTTAAGTTTTTTTTTGTATTTTAAATTGTTAAGTCATTTTAATTATGTTTAATTGTTTATATTTTAAATTTAAATTATTTATTTTATAAAATTTGTTTTTATTTTAACAATTTGTTGAATATATGCATAAGATATTTAGTTGAATTTATATTAATTTTTATTTAATAAAGATTAACTAATTTTATTTTGATGCAATACAATAAATTTTTTTTATTCTAAACTATTTTTAAAAATCTCTACCAGCGATGTGCTCTGATCACATCATTAAATAATTTAAGAGATTAAAGGTATTATATACTTTTCAATAGCAAATGGTAATAATGTTTTAATCTTCAAAGCGATAATGGTTTAATTCTAAAGTATTAATAATAAAACTATATCTGTTTTGTTAATATTGGAACTTTAGTTTTAAAACTACTAAGAAAATTCTAATTGCTTAAAGATTTAAAAAATAAAAAATCAAATAATTAAATACACCAATAAAATAAGTTGGATATTTTTAATATTTATAAAGTATTTTGGAACATAGTTATATGCTGCAGTGATATTTTTTGCGTTTTTAGAGCGATTGTAAAATTATCTTTGTTTTTGCAATATTTGGGAGTTTGGGTATTAGTGAAAAGTTAATGCTTTAATTTTTTTGACACATATACATTTAAAAATTATATTCATACATTTTAAAAAATTTATTGATATAAATTTAATTATAAATTATATTATTGTAGGCATTTTATGATATTGCAAAATTATTTTGTAAATAATTACAATATTTATTACCAGTATGTATAATACAAACAAAAATATATTAACAATAAAAATGTAATAATAAAAATATGAGTTTGTCATACAATTATTAAATACAAGAGAATGTCAACTGAAGATTACAGATTGATTGAAAATAATTAAGAATTGTCTAAAAATAAAAGCAATAAAGTAGAGTATATATTAGACTCTTCTTCAATGAAGGTACTGTAAAAACAAATCATATTCTTCTGCCATCCTTCATTTAAAATGGAGATTAATATATGATATTAAAGGATCTACATATAAAATGTGTTCTCATATGCAAATTGGTTCTCATCTCCAAATTTTTAAAGTATATAACAGATATATTATTTTTGTTTTATAAATTTTTAAAGTAGATAGCAGATGCACTAGGGCTATAATCTGAAATAGGCTATAAAATAATTGTGTTGTGTATATAGATCTTAATACATAATGTATTATCAGCAAACAAACTATTATTTCTTCTATTGTGTTTCATATGTACATACTGATGCGATACAATATAATTTTCTACGATATTTAAAAATTACATATATGATTAATAATATATATGCCATATAGCATACGGATGTGTTGGGATACTATGAGATTTTGAGATCAAAAAATTTATCGTAGCAAATATATTTATCCACATGCCATTAGTAGACTCTTTATCATGAATACATCGGCACCTACATCAACATGGAAGTCGGCCAACATCATGGAAGTCGATCCCAAAGGTGAACTAATAGCTTTTAAATACACAGATGGAGTATTTAAGTGGTTCGGTTTTTTTTTCAAACATTAAATCTCTATCACAATATAAAATGACACTGCTTAAGTGAGGACAAAGTAAAAGTGAGAAGTTTTTATTATTATTCACTTTGTCAACGCCGACGAGTAGGTTTAAAACATACGCATTTTGTTATTGTTATTATATAATATATAATATTATACCCCGCAAGGATTTGTTTGTTTTGTTTCTTTTGGGAGTGTTGAACGCACATAATCGTCGAATTTGACTAATGGTTCCGCAACCCCTCTCTCCCTTCCTTTATCCCCTGTACCACAACCCCACCTATCCACTCCTTTACCCATGTATTCGTCTTGTTATCCTTTCATGTTATCTGCTTTCAGGTCCCGGCGGGTTATAACAACAACAACAATGGTTCCGTAACGCAGATTCGGTCCTTCTTGGAACTACATACGCATTATTGTACGGTACAATTAGTATATTTTTATCTCCACAATGTTTAATAGATACCAACTAGTTTAAATTTTTGTATGACTTTGGATGCTTACAAGATAAATTTCTTTTATTTTTCTCGAAGCAGCTTTGTAAGCTCTTATTCGATGTTTATCAGTAGTTCTAGAACTATATTAGCTTTTACTTAATACCTACTATAAGTTAGTTTTGTCTGTCTTTTGCGTAACTATTGAAAAAGTTTGCAAATGTTGCGGTTTGCTGGTCCATTGTTGAAAGTAATCGCTTTTAACTTTTCCCCAAGCATTTTGATACTCTTCGGCAATATTTTTGAATTCATTATACTTTAAGATCTCCAATTTTTCCATAGTAATTCCAAATTTTTTACAAAATTCTGGTTTAGCTTTTAATAACTCCACATATTCCAACAACAAATGATATTTGCTTGTCCTTAAAGCAGCTTGTGGTGAATTGGATTTTTTTGCAGTTACACCTTGTCGTTTTCCATTAACGGAAATTTCAATAGGACTATAAAAACAAAAATAATAAAATTAACTTTTGAATTATACACCCATACTTACTTAACATTTACAGGTATATCACACCACACCAAGCCATTAGGACTTGGCTGTTTTCCAGTGTCCTCCACATACTTAAATTTAGTATTGTCACATATGTGTATGAGCGGCTTCTGTGGTTTATATTTCACGTGCTCAAATTGTCTATCCAACCAACGTCCGTATATGGCACGACGTATGGATTTTTCATTACTTCTACTACAGCAAAATGTTAATGTTTCAAAGTAAATGGGTTTATCCAGCAGAGTATCTAGTAGTGCGCCTTGTACACCTAAAACATTCCATCTCGACAATTTATCACTGCAAGACATTGACAGCGTGCGATCACCTCTGCCTGGTTTAGTACGTACAACTCCCACAAACTGTTGGAGTAGATCACTGTGTTCCCCAATTAGTTTAGCACCAGTGTAAACCACTTCACTGTCATTCAACAAAGTCTTACCAAAATCTTTTTGTACTAATTCATCGCAGACAAGTTTAGGCTTTTTATTAGGTGTTTCAATACTTTCCTCGTCACATGATTCGTCCTCAATACAAGCATCACCACAAGGCGTTTGTGTGCTAATGAAGTGAAAACTCAATTCTCGCTTTAGAGTGAAAAATAACTTTTCTGCATTCCACTGAAATATGGACAATTTATTCTCTATTGCTTTTCTAAGTTCAGCATAAAAGTATCGTAGCAGTGCTCTTCTCGCTAGTACTTCTGCATGTGAATCATTTAATATTAAACCGCCACTGCATAGTTTGCTTCTACCAATGCATTTTGTACCAGCACCCAGCGCCACAACCTTACTTTCCTTCCGATTTTCGTCATACTGTACAACACCTGCTAGGATCGTCCATTCCTTATTGGTTGGTTTTCCAGTTTTGGGTAATGTATCGAACTTATTTAAACACAGCTCGGCTAATAATTCTCCTGCTGGATAAGGTGAGCTCATGTTGATAAATGTAAACAACAACAGCTGATAAATTTATTATTTGTTGTTTTTATTTAATTACACATTTACACAGTGTGTTCCCAATTTATTTAAAACGTTAAAATTACAAGCAATAGGAATATTGGAATTAAGAGTATTCAGATCTACTCGAAAACTCAGTAGAGCAATACTGATAGCACTGAATCTGTACCCAATGTCACCGATTTAACGAATTATCAGTTTAAACCAGTTTATTGTCTGGACTTTGTATATTATAGATAATATAAAAGAAATTACAATTACTTTTAATGGGTTAGAATACGGTTGGGTAAAGGAAGTGTAAAAGGGGACGGCATTCTTTGAAAACAAAAATGGACAAAGGATAAGGATAAGAACATTAATTTATTAAAATCAATTATTTATTGTAATTAATTAAGTAATTTCATATTTTCCCCGTAGATGGAAAACATCGATACTTGAACTCACTAATTCACCCTCTTAGGAATGCAAAATGTACAAATTTCAATCAACTGACATTAGAAGCAGACATTAGAATAAAGAACAATTATATCTAGGTCTAAACTGAAAACAAGTGAGGAGAGAAAAGGAGGATGTTCTTGCTAGTTAGTAATTAGTGAATAAAAGTAAACTTTGTGGAAGGGGTTACTGTAATTGGATAATAAAAGACTTGTAGATAGTGGAGTGGGGAAAATGGGGTTATTGTAACCATGATTGTAGAGCGGTATTACAGCAGAAATGTCGAGAAATGCAGTTGTCTAGATAAAGCGTCGGAAATTTGAAGCCTAAACTTTATGTTAGAATAAATTACATCTTAAGCATGATATAGACAATGGTACGTGTATGCACACCAATTGTACATACCAAGTATACACTTTGCTATATACTTTGAAACAAGGTGTAACATTACTGCATACATGTCTGCAGACCGAAATTTTGAATGCATACTTGAATAGTGCAATTTGGTAGCACGGCATACTTGGTTTGCGTAGCATCGTCTATGTCATAATTTAGGCTTCTTCATTATTTTTCTTTAGCAAGCTAAACTAATGTTAAGTAACTAGAGTATTAAATATAGTATAAATAGAAATAGGATGAGTAGAGATATTATGATTACAACAAAACTCATAAAAAAAAAAATTAGTAGCGGTTGATTTAACAGTTTAAATTGAGTAAATTATTATACCTTGCGGCATCTTATTTGTTAAAGTGTTAAATATTGACATACCATATAAATTATTTAGATTTCACACTTACATTTTAGCAATACACAATAATATCGTTTACCATAGTATAATTAACTGAAGTGCTTACACTGCGTTTAAAAGTTAAATGTTTTATTATTATATATATATAAGACGGCGTCTATATTGTCAAGAATTTGGTATTATATTTGATTGCACTATAACATTTTCACACACTTTTTGTTCTCCGACAAAATTTGAATTTAATACGTATTTGCATTTGAGTATAAAAATCTAGCCAGTGTAAACGCCATGAAAATGTCATAAGTGGTTTAACATTTATATGAAGTATTTGAACACTTTTGATAGCTTTATGTCTCTGGTCAATAAAACATAATATATTTGTTTTTCTTGACGATTTTTTATAGATGTCTAATATAAAAACGCTCATTATTTTTAATTGTTGAATGTCTTACCATTTATGTCTGACCATTTCAACTGCCAGAATATGTCAAACCATATAAAATGACAGATTTAATATTTTCTGTCATTTTAGTTATGTTGAATAACCAAATCGAATAGTTTTTGAATTAAGAAATTTATAACAATTATTCAAAATTTTTACATATCTAAATATAAATAAATGAAATATATAATGTTAAAGATTTTTTCGTGAAATTTTAAATTCAAAGAAATTGTTTACCCTGTATTTTGAAGACTTCTAACAGCTGTTTAAAGTTATATTGTCTTGTATCCTTTTTAACTAAAAGAAAATATAAACAAATTAAATGTTATTGAATAAATGTTGATATTAATATTTAAAAATGCTATTATGGGAGGCGTTTTGTAACCGCTGGCTAGTCGCTACTTTTGGCATTTTATTGTTTATTTTCGGAGCAGTGGTGCTATTTTGGAATGAAGTGAGTTTGAATTAATTGTTTGTTTATATTAATTAAATTTATTTGAATTAACTTTGCGACAGGGCCGTGCGGTGCACACAATTATGTCGCTTGATGAAGCTCTAGATGAAGCTGTCTCAATTAATCCAACCGATCATTTAGAACATAACTACAATGGACGTATTGTACATATGGCAGGACCCATTATTATTGGCGAACCACTTACAGAACCAGACTACAACATACAAGTTTTAGCAGTCAAGTTGCGTAGACGTGTACAAATGTATCAATGGGTGGAGGAGACAGTGTAAGGAAATATTAACTAAATATTGTAAAAATTAATCATTTAATTTAATTTTTTTATATAAATTAGTGAAAATAATTATGGTGAAAGTGTAGCTTCAGTGCAGAGCGAAGGCCGTACTTATTACTATACAATGGAGTGGCGCGACAAACTGATAGACTCACGTAGGTTTTATATAGAAACAGGTCATCATAATCCTGAACGTTTTCCCATCGAAAGTGTAACACAAATTGCTGATGCAGTATATATAGGAAAATATGAGCTTGGTCCACATGTGAAGGAAAAATTTTCTAATTATGTAGAACTTACATCAGATCAGAGACCTGAAGATGCATCAATTAAATTGCATTTAGGCATATATTATCATTCGAATGATGTTTTCAATCCTGAGATTGGTGATGTGCGATTGTTATTTTCATTTAGCGGTATGGAGGGTGAAATGGTACTTACATATTCAATATTCAATTACTTGGAAATATGCTATATTTATTTTATATTAATTTTCCATTTTTTTATTTTAGTATACCATTGTGGGAAAGCTAGAAAATAACAAAATTGTGCCATATAAAACTAGTCGTGGACTCGATGTATTGTTAGTTTATAGTGGTGAACTGAATCTCAGTGAAGTATTTAAGCAGGAACATCATGCACAACGGTTAACCACTTGGGGCTTTCGTTTCATGGGCTGGGTCTTAGTATTTTTCGGCGCCACATGTACTTCAACATTGTTACACATTATACGTAAGTTTGGATATTTATTTGTAAGCTTAAAATTTATTATTAATAAATAATTTGCTTTTTGTATATCACAGTTATGCGTGTACAATTTTTATCTGCACTCGCTCCAGATCCACATTATCCAGTAGGCGCTAATGTTGTGCTCTCCCTCTCAATGGCTTTAATAATAGCCTCAATAGCTTGGGTATTACACCGTCCTATGATTGGTGCTGGACTTCTATTTGCGGCAGCTTCTCCTTTCGTTTGGTGTGCGCGTGGAGTAGCAAATTACGAACCAGTTAACTAAAATTGTGAATTCCTAAGAGACTTGTTTTCAGCTTCGAAACGCATTTGGTTTTTTAATACGGTACTTAATTTAATTTAAGTTTGGACTATTATTTTTATTACATTTTTTGAAAACTAAGTTGGTCTTTAAAATCTATTTGTGTTTTAAAGTAATATTTAAACAAATAATGAGCAAATATAATAAAGGATATTAGTTTTAAATATTTAAATCCATAATATTAGTTATTGAAATGTTGATCTAAAATATATGTGCTTGTAAATTAAATCATAAAAACTTGACAAAATTTAAAGCCTTCGAACAAAGAATGTAATATTAAAATATTGTAAAATATTTCTTAGACAATTTATTTTTATTTATTAAAGAGATTATCTTAACATTATGTACAATATAATTTTGAACAACCTAAAGTTGGATTTTATTTTTAAAATAAAATTAATATGTTCTATATACACACAATCTTTCTATATATTACTAGAATTTAAACCGGCAAACGTTGTTTTGCCGCATAAATTATTTCTACTGATTTCTTTTTTTTTTTAAATAATTGATAATGAATGTATTGTATTGTACTGCCATTTGCTGCAGTATTGTGAACTATTTCCGTTGCTCCGAACGAAGTCATTTGGAAGCATGAATTAAATATTCGAATGGTCTTCAGGAACAGATTTCAATCTTCATGCGTGCCAATGAGCAAGCCGTTCAATGGTTCTGGTGGTCACTCAATTTCTGGTAATTGCACTTTTCCTGATGCGCAACACAACCCGTCTAATTCTTGTTTGAATTTGAGTGCATGACAATAAGGGCATTCTTTGTCCATAGAACCAATCATCACTTTCGGATGTGCGAAATATTCAATATCTGGCTCGTACTTGAACGCAAGACGAAGAAACGAAGTGGATGTAAATGCTCGATGTACTTGTTGGCGTACGACCTATTCTCATACCTACCAAATATACACAAAAAGTTTCATGACAATTGGTAAAGTCGTTGCGGAGGAGTTTAAACACAAACACCGTGACACGAGATTTTTATATATAAGATTATAATTATTATTTACTAATAATAATATTAACAAATTATTTACATTCCATTTATTTTGTAACCACCAAAGTTATTAGGTGTTGTATCACTGGAGCTCAGTGTTTTTGGCTCTGTTTCGGGTGATGCAGCTGCTGTATTTGTGCAACTCGTGTGTATGCTGGGACTCTGTGATTTAATATGTTCATCTGCCTGCTGCTGTTCATAACGTACATATGGTTCATAACCGTTTATATGTATGGAACCGCGGTGTAGAGTACCGCTCTCAGCTTCGAAGAGTATATCGTTAATAAATTTTTCAGCAAGCAAACGTTGCGGTCTTTGTAAACGTTTTAATTTATGCGTCCATGTACGTGCTATCGACTCCTCTTCTGGAAAAGTGCCTGACAAGTAATCACAAGCCATATTTATCATATGCATTTCATCTGCACTGTGTCCATTTGGTGTCGATGTATGAGAATGTGGAGACAAACGTTGTCGCTTCACACTATCAGGTTGAGTGTTATTCTGCTGCTGTTGGTGGTAGTCAACGACTATATGTGGCGCACCAGTTGATGTAGGTGATGCTGCAGCCACTTGTGCTTCTGGTTTTGCATTGCCAAAGGATTTTTGAAACATTTCCGCAATACTTGGTGAATAGTTTGAAGCATCCAAAAAACCATTTTGCGATTGTGAATTTTCACTGAAGGCAAAACTTTCATTTTTGTAATTTGGATTAACAGCTAAGAATTTTTCGGTGTTGCGTAAAAAATCTAATTCTGGGTAAGTCCAACATCTCGGTGTATGCAACAAGCCAGTACGTCGGGAGCACTCTACTACCTATAAATTGTATTTCATGGTTTAAAATTATTGTTTTTAGGGAAAATGTTTTAATTAAAAATACTTTAAGTTCTTTGCGATAATTCGTTCTGAGTGTATTTATTTTCTTCTTCACATCCTCAACTGTTGCATCGCGCTTCAGGTAACGATAAATCGGCACCAGTTGCTCATACGCTTCAGCTCTTTTATCTCGGTTTGTGTAATCTCGAAGCGAAGTGTCCCACAGAATCGGTAAGTTGCGATAAGTTTGTATGAACGCGCGTAAATAGTTTCTATTTTCTTCAGCGGGAGTAATCGGTTTCAGCATTTTAAAATTTAACGTATTTCTGTCAAATTTCTGCTGATTAAAAGAAATTTTTCCCAATGATTATATTTGAGACTTTATCTTATACAAAACAATAAAACAGAATGTTTCATTCGCTGTTAATGATAAAATGACGATATTATTGAAGAAATGTCAACTTACAAAGATTGACGTAAGTATTGCTACATTGATGGTTTGTGTATATGCTAAGCAAAGAATATTTTAGAAAGAGTGACAAATGGAAGTATCAAAATGTATTTATTTGTGTATTTGTTTTTTAAATAATCGATTTATTGAAAAAACTTCACAAAACAGAATAAATTTTGATATGTGAATATAAATATTCCAAGCAAATAAATATTCTAAGCACAACGTTACACAGATGTGTTTTGCCAATGATTGTTTGATCTACACTACGTCTAGATGTCCGCGCGATGTTAGTATTGACATCAACTCCCACTCTAGGTGTTACCATACTTGTTATATCAAACTCAACTTTCGGTTGCCTTTCTTAACGGATATCGCAACCGTCACAGGAGCTTAAAACCCTCAGATATAAACTTTTGAATTGAAGATTCGCTATTAGCTTTACTGAAAGGCTAAAATACTTATAAGTTGTTTTCAATTCTAAATACAATTTCAATTCTCATTTTATTCACATCATCAAGAGTGCCACGCTTCAACTCCGTGAGCTTAAAAATGGTGTATGCCGTGACATTCTGCTAAACGTGCAAATCAAGCTGTTTTGTTACAAGCAACTAATACAGTCACTTTTGCATACTTATTTCCTATTTGGTTTGGAGTCTCGTTCTCTCAAATGGAATGCCTTCGAGTATTTGAAAGGGGTGTGCTCTGGGTCTGCATTAACTAGAAGCGCAGTCGTGATGGCAGACATTTTCTCAACTCCGCTATCTACGAGTGCAACGAGAGTTTAGATGACTTTATTATAAGAAATGTTTTGGTATAGATAACTAATATTGTTATCCACACCGTTAAACCGTTAATAGATTCATGTGTTCCATAACCGCAATACTAACTTAAATGGTCACAACAATCCGTTACTGGGTTACTATATCTTGTACATCACTTACGGTTAGTGCTTCTACAACTTGTTACCTTCACTGGATTCACAGTTTACCTTTATGTCTTTTTCCTTCAACTACAAATATCAAATATCAATGAAGCCGCTTGATGTTTTTCGCTGCATTACATCAATGTCGTGATAAAGCTCCTACAGCTCGTGACTCACTCGGAGCAGATAGTCGCCGTCAACTCTTAGAGAACCAAAAATTTTAGGAAGAACTTAACTTGTCAGATAACAGTTTAACAGTAAAAACACTTAAAAGAACCCAGGTACTGGATCTGACAGATGTATAACCTTCCAAAATAATTATGTCTGTAAGGTAGCATACAACATTCTAAGCTTTTCTATCTTATTTGTCCCATTGTGGAGAGAAAGAAGTCTCAAATCTGTTGTGTTACTGTCTAGCGCATGCGAAACTTCGATTTACTATTTTGAAGGGATTATTTTTTGAGGACCTCCCTCTAAAAAGTATTTAAATTTCTGTCAAAAGTTAAAGGTTGTTTCTAGAGCTCTGAGTTTTTTATACGGTAGGTAACACAATAGGCCATTAGGTGCATCCTTCGGATCGTCTGTATAATCTAAGATAAATTAAAATATGAGTGTAAGAGTAGGAGCACAAAAATTGATTTATGACAATCTTTGGCGATTCAAACTATGATATTATATCAGTCAACAAAACAGAGTAGTAAAGTAAAAGTTTTCAATATATATTTATATTAAATAAGTTTTTAAAGGATGTAATAAATTTTACAAAAATTAATGTGTTAGGTATTTTAATTCAATTCTATTTTTGTTATAATATTCCATATTTGCTTGAAGAGATTTTAATTATTTTTACCATATGTTATATCAAGTAAGATTAATGTAAAACATAATTTTTGATAATAAATTATTATATTATATTGGTACTTAGATTTCATATATTTTTTTTTATATTTTCACAAGTTTTCGAACAATTTATGACAGCAATAAATGCTTTGCCATTATGGAGTAAATGTCAAAATAAAAACATAGAAATAACATCGCAAGCGAGATCAAGCAACAACAAACATGTGCAAAATTTCATTTTAAAAACCGTTGGACTTTTTTAATTTGTGGCCGCGCCACCAGTCTTCGTTTACATTTCGCCGCTGTTGCCGTGACATTTCCGATAATGGCTTTTTGCGTGCAAAATATAATTTTGAGCATTTTTGTGAAAGAATAACATTTTATATAAATTATAAAAGTGTATTAATACATAAAAATAACATTAAAATTTTCTATGAGATTTACTTGTATAAAATAATTATATTTAGTAAGAAAAAATGCGGCGAACAGAATAAAACGAAGGAATTTTTATGCGTCCTTGGAAAAAGTACTCAAAATATAAATTAATGAGATAAAATTTCTGAAAATTGTGAAAGTAATAAAAATATTTTAAATATCATTGAATATAAATTCCAATAAGTTTTAAAAATTTATATGAAAACTATATTTTTTTTTGTTTTTGTGGAGAAAAGATCACAAACTGTGAAGAACTGCGGCGTCGCAAACGATATTTTTTATTTGTTGCTTGCCTGTGACACAAAATTGTGATCAAACTTATTTTCTCAAAAATAAAAACGGATTAAAAAATATTACGCTTATAATTGTATGTTATTTGTATTTTTAAAAACAAAAAGAAATACATGAATTTTTAATATAAGACTTCTCTGCGAGAAGTTCTCCACTTGAAAGTCTCAAAATTCTGCAACACAAGATGGAAGTAATTGAAGAGCAAACAAAATGTGGTAAGTTTGGTGGTAAAAAAGGAACACATTAATAATTATTTAATAAAATATGTTATTAATTTGTAACAGTTAACATTTGTGTACTTCGCATCGATAGTAGTATTGTTTAGGGATCTGCTTTTATCCTATAAAAATCTGTCAGGCAGGATTTTAATATACCGTACCCCACTTCCTACTAAATTGGATAGGAAAGTGTTTATTTAATTTTTGATGTTAGGCTGGATTTATTGGTGGTATTGTCCAGGTACTTTAAATTAATTTGTCATCAGAGTCATATTTTTCAAATTCATATCATCTGTCGGACAGGAGTTTAATATACCGTACCATTTCCTACTAAATTGCATAGGAAAGTGTTTATTTAATTTTTGATGTTAGGCTAGATTTATTGTCCAGGTACTTTAAATTAATTTGTCATCAGAGTCATATTTTTCAAATTCATATCATCTTTGTTTAGGAAATTGAAGATTTTGTTAATTTTCTATGTAAAATTAATTGGTAGAAATTTATTAAAAGGAGTTACTGATTTAAATTTATGGATATATTTTTACTAAATATGAATTTAATGAGTGTACTAAAACAGTGGCACACTCTGCTCTTTCCTTTGACTTTTATTGATTTCATATATTATTTAAAAGGTCTCTTAGAGATTATTCAGTTGACAACAAACTATAAAACATAAATATAGATTCATCTTCATGTGGTATATATTTCCGATTTTAAATTCAATAAATTTCATAGTAATTAAATCTCAACAAACTTCTGACAAGTATTAATATTTGTAAATAGTGAAACATATGTATTAATAAAAACATAAAAAATATTTGCTAAATTTTTATAAAGATTTTTATTTTATTAAGCAAATATTTTGCTTTAAATCTTTTATATAAAAAATTTTTTTTCATCAGCAGCAATTTCCTCTTATAAAAATAAGTAATAATGTCGCTAACAGCAAATAAATAATAAGTATTAAAAAAAGCAAATAATTATAGAAATCTATAAAATATAATAAATACGTTGAGGATATCTCAAAGCACGTCATTTAGTCGTGCTTGTCAATATGTTTTATTTTTATATATATATATATTTTTTTTTTTTTTGATTTTTTTGTTCTATAAAACAAATACTTTTTGCGTATTTTTAAAACACACACTTGCCACGAAAAGTACACACGACGGTTCCTAAACTAAAAAATTTTTTAATAAAATAAAAAAAAAAATAAAAATATTTGTGAACAGCTGTATGTGGAGCTACTGAGTCGCTTAACAACAAACATAAATAAATCCAGAAAAATATTTCTACAAAAATAATTTTTGTAATCTTTAACGTTTTTTTTTTTTATCTTTATCAATGTCCAAATCAAACTATTTTAAGTTTTAATTCGCTTGGATTTTCCTGCAACACAGCACATTAACTACACACAGTCAATAAAAGATACAGTTTAGCAGAGGCAAAAGCAGAAGCAAAAACAATAACAAAACTCACAATGAACACAGAGACAGAGTATGTTTTGTGTGTGTATTCGGTCTGTACATTTCAAGCTCAGCTTCACCTTTATTTTGTTTTTTAATTATTTCTTCCTCTTTGCTTTCATACATTTTTCCCCATATCCATGGACGCGTTTTGCTTACCAAATGGCATATTCAGTTCAGTGGTAGTTTATAAAATTTAGGTAGAATATATAGACAGCAAAAAAGAAAACAACAACAGCAACTACACAACAAGAACAACATAGCATCAACTGTGGCTGTAACATAAAAATAACAAAACATACCATCCATCCGTTTGTCGTTTTCAACAAGAAGAAGAAGAAAAAGAAGCTACAGGAATTAGGGTGACTCATATTGTGTGTGTTTAACAGTCGTTTGCACATGCCTCGTTCTTATCGTTGTTTTTGTCATTGTTTTTGTTTTTGTTGTTGTTTCTCCCAATACCGGCTTTTGTGTTGCTTCAATACTTACTTCGTTCGTTGTGTGCAGTGAGGAGTACGTTGCAGTAAACATAAAATAGGGTTTTAGCACTTGTTTTAATTTAAAGTGGATGAGTTGCGCCTGATACCTCAATTATCTTAGCTTATTATTATTCGATAATTGATAATCGATAATCGAATATTAATTATTCGATATTTGTTAGTGGAATTAATATTCCGAAAATGGAAGAACGAATTAGCTAACCCTTGACATTGCCACATTTACTTGTTTAATGCTTATTTATTGAACATAGTTTTTCAAACAAAATCCTCTACGTGCTGAAAACATGTATATGTTTCTATCAAAAGAAATAAGTATTTTTCTGTAAATATTTAATATAATATTAATGATAACAAATAAAGTAAAGATTTATTTTTGCATCTCTAATATATTATATATATATGTGTTTTCAATTTCAATTAAAAAAAAATGTTTTTATATCTGAATATATGGAAAATCAATTTTGTTTTTGGTGTACCAAAAAGTAATAGAACTATATATTTCTATTTTATATATAATTCTATCATGTTTCCACTGTTTACTTTGTAAGTTACCTAAGTAACTTTAAGATTTTGTCGTTTCCATTGACATAAGTTACTTATTGTATGTGAAAGAGCTTTTATGTGTCAGAAAGTTCTGGGAGAACTTATGTTTTTTAAATAAACGTATAATGTAATAATGCATATAATAATATATCACACAAGAAATTAAATATGTAATTGATATATTAAATCATTTATATGCATATTTTTTTTATAATTACATTATATATTTAACTACTATAAACAAAAAGAGTTTATCAAATACTTTTTCAGTGTGTTTGTTTACAGTGTAGCTGATATTTGTTTACATTTTATATATGTCTTGACAAATATTTCAAACTTTGATAATTTCTTTTGAGGGTAATTTGTTTTTAAGGGTTCCATTCAACCCATTTTTGGTTTAATTTTTCTTACTTTATTTTCAAGTAAGTTAAAAAACACAAAGCCCTTTATATGGTTAAGGAAATTTCCTTAGTAAGTTGTACTAACTAAGTAAGCAGTGGAAATATACTAATAAACTATGTAAAATAGATTAAAAATAACAACTGTAAATTGGTATTTTGTATATATAAGTTCAAAAAACTCAGCATAAGTAATTTAAAGTATAATATAAAGTTTCACTTATCACATTTATTTTTATTGTTTATTTGACAGTCTCCATTGAATACAATTATTATATAATTGCGCTATTTTGATCCAATTATCTGAAACAATTTGTATGGGAAATTCAAATGACCGTGCTATTTAACAATAACAAAATGTGTTTAAGAGATAGTGTAAATGATGAATGAAATATTAAAATATTGAATTTGGTTTGCTTTGATTTTATATAAAAACTTTAGCTGGTCGTTTCTATGCATTTTTTTTATCACAATTTGTTATAGTGTCCTCATCTTTCTCTACATAAATTCCATTTATTGAACCACTTGTCACTTTTAACATATCAAATCATATAATGTAAAACAAAAACCAAATAGAAGTAACGGTTTGTGACTATAGTTTCTATTCTGTTCAGATACTTTATTTTACGGTAGTACTCTGTCGAAAATCCATATGTAGTTCTACAAATAACTAGTTATATAATTAATTAATATAATCATAGTCTACACATATAAAATTTTTGCGCAAATTATGTACTCGAGATAAAAATATTATTCTTATCTTGTTCTTAATTTTGGAACAGAATTGTTGACTAGGCTAGTGTCTATTAAAGGGTCTAAATCAATAGGTGTCTTTATTGAAGAATTTGTTAGTCTGTAGTGCTATAAAAGGAAGAATAGAACATTTTCTATTCTTACGTTCAATACTGTTATTGGTGTTCTTCGCAACGAAACCCTATTTTTAAACTATTTATTCCTTCTGATGGATTTGTCTATTTTTAGTCATAAATTCTTGTCTAGATTAAATCGAATTCATCAACGAACAATATACGCATTCCAGGCATATTCTTTAGAATACTTTTTTATTACAGAAATAAAGCTTTTCTTTTTGGTACGTGTACCATCTGTTGTTTAGTTCAAAGTCGCGGCACCCCCGGGTGTCTGTCAAGAATATGTTAATGACAAATTAATTTTATTGGAGGCAGGTCTGATGATTTTTGTAATTGCCGCTATGTTCGCCGGGTCAGATATAATTTCATTGGTTTTCTCTAGTATCCTAATCGGTAAGAATAATTTTAGATTTTATTTGATTATAAATATTTTTGTATTTTATACTAACTTTGGAAAATTGTGTTATTTTATATTATAACCTTCAAAAAATTCTTTTACAATGAGTAAAAAATGCTATATGTAGATTTTATTCTTTGTAAATATGAATTAGATGCGAGGATATGCATTTAGTATATATACTTAAATAAAAGATCTTTTATTTATGATGCCATAAGAAGTCGTGTAGTTAGTTGCCTTCTAATGGGAGTTACAGTGACTACAAAATTTACAACTTCATTTGTGTTCAAGTCGTTCAATTTGTATAACGAATATTATCTTTTGTTATCAGAACAATTAGAAGTTTCCTACAAGGTTTTGTACCTGTAACGGATAGTACATTCAACTTATCAAATCTACATTGTTCTAAATTGTGTATACAAACTACAAAAAAAAAAAAATAGAGAAAAGAAAACAACAACTTATGTATATGTACCTTGTATATATATACCTTCTTAGTAGTCTATACTTATATACATCAAGGATAATGCATTTTTATGAAAACATATTTAAATCTTAAATCTTTCGAATTTTTTGGGTATTTCCTTAAGTCAACATGTTGCATATTTTCATTTATATTTGTTAAATAGAGTTTTAAAATAGACAATGCCATGCCAACTGAAGATTATGTAAAATTTCCTTAACCTTATAAGTTTTCAAGTAAGATGAATTATAATTGTTAGAAAAAACAAGGTAATAATCAAATCTAAATTCGAATAGAATATATGTACCTATATTAAAATTGTGTCTAATAAATGTGTTAAAATATTGATGTATGGTTATAA